CTGTCAGCACAGGTTCCTCGGCGACTCTCTCTAGCAATACTCAGCAATTCTGGAGGAGCCACCATGCAGAGGGAAGGGCCGGGGGCTCACCTGGGCTGCACAGGGCAGCAGCCGCTGGCCATGGCCATGTGAGAACAGCCTTTAAAAAAGAGATGTATTTAATTATGTGTTTATGTGAAAGGCAGAGCCACAGAGAGAGAAAGAAAGGGAATGAGGTCTTTCACCAATTGGCGCACTCCCCAGATGCCTGCAACAGCCAGGGCTGGGCCAGGCAGAAGCCAGAAGCCAGGAACTACATCTGGGTCTCTCATGTGGGTGGCAGAACCCAAGTACTTGCCATCATCTGCTGCCTCCCAGGCACATTAGCAGGGAGCTGGGTTGGAAGCAAGTAGCTGGAACCCAAACCACACTCCGATATGATACCAGCATCGCAGGTGGTAGCTTAACCCGTTTCACCACAGCACCAGCACCCGAGGATGTCCTTTTAAAAATCCACCCTGGGCTCCAGGATAGAGGTGGCTCAGGTGGGTGAGGGGCAGGGCAACAGCTCCAGAAATCTCAGTAACAAGTGCCTTGGGTGGGCTAACCGGAAGCTGAGTCAGCACCGTGGCCTCCTGTGCCTGCTTGCCTTGTGTTTACTCGAGGTGGCTCTGGGGAGTCAGGGAAGAGTGGGGTGATCAGCCAAGGCCACTCCTCGGCATTGCCCCTGATTAGAAGCTCTGGGGTCACCGTGACACCTAACAGGGGGCACAGTGGGTGTGAAGGTGCTGGGGGGGGTGTGCTTAGGGAGGCAAGGGTCCCAGCTGGGTGGGGAGGAGCAAAGCTGTGGATTTCCCAGAACCCTCCTGCTACCCAGGTGTCCCCTGGGTCCATGTCCCCTGACCCAGTGACCCTCACCCTGTCCCTGCAGCCTGCCTGCACCCCTCTGCTGGGCGAGTGGCAGCAGAGACCGGGTGTGAGCTAAGGAATCTGAGTGAGGAGCAGAGATTTCAGGGTCAGCAGAGCTGCTGGGAGCCGAGCAAAGGGGGCTGGGCAGGCCAGGGTGACCTGTAGCAGCCTCCGCTCAGCTCTGGCCTGGCTTGGCCATCCCCTCACGCCTTTCCTGCAAAAGGCACATCACACCCTGCCAGAGCTGGCTCTCAGGTCTCCTGTCTGGACTGCTGCAGTAGCCCCTGATTGGTCCCCATCTCTCCCCTCTGAGCCATCCGCATGCTGCCACGCTGCAGCCAGATTAATCTTCTTAATACACCACTTTGCACATCTCCTTCCCTCGGAAGCCTCAGTGGCAGCATCATGGGAAGAAGCAAGTCCAGCATGAGTCAGGAAGCGGCTGGATCCAGCCCAAATGCCTGGGCCCTGCCAACCTTGCAGGCTCATCCCCACCACCCCTTCCCCCGCTCCCCCCGGGAGCCCACTCTGTTCTCAGAGCTGCAGCTGGCCCCACACACTCCTTCTTCCACACCTCGGGAGTGACCTCCATGGGCATTCTCTTTCTGCCTCCTCCTGCCTGACCTCAGCCGGCTTTGAGCTCCCCTGATGCTCCTGGGTTTTGCCTCCAGCGTGGTAGGTGGCTGCACCTTGCACCTTGCACACACAATGTCCTGCCCCGTGGGAGGCTGGCTTTAACTGTCAGTGCCTGCAGGGCTGGTTGAGCTTGATCTTGGCCTGGGGGTGGGGGCTCCCTGTCACTAGTGCCTTTATTCTGTAGAGCCTCCTTGTGAGGTGGTGTCACACAGGCCACCAGGGATCAGAGAGGTTGAGGGACCTGCCAGAGGTGGCACAGATGGGAAGCGTATGAGCTGGCTGGCTTCTGGTGTTCAGGCTCAATCCCACCTTGTCGTTCCTAGTGTTCCCTGGGTCCTGGAAGGGTTGGCTGGCAGAGATGCTCTGGGCTTCAGGGGAGTGCTGGTGCAAAGGCAGAGTGAGAGGGAGGGAGAGAGCGAGAGAGGGAGAGAGAGAGAGAAGGAATATCTCCTGTGTGCTCTAGTTCACTCCCACAGCTAGGGCTGGGCCAGGCCAGAAGCAGGAGCTGGGAACTCCAACTGGGTCTCCTGTGTGAGTGGCAGGGGTCCAAGCACTTGACCCATCAACTGCTGCTTCCCAGAGTGCGCATTAGCAGGAAGCTGGACTGGAAGTGGAGGCAGGACTGGAGTCCAGACTTCCCAGGCACTCCAATATGAGTGCCTAAACACTGTGCCACAAGGCCTGCCTCCTTCCTGCTGGGAGGGGCTGAACAGCTAACCTGGGACCACAGTGGCTGCTGAGTGACAGCCTGCGTGGAGGGGCAGGGATGTTGGGAGCTGAACCATCAGCACGGAGAGGAGGCCTGGAGCCTCAGTGCAGGAGATGCTGAAGCCGCTTGGCCTCAGCTCCCAGCAGCCTCCACTGGGCCTGGCGTCTGGGAACAGCAGGGAGGATCCAGTCTAGACCTGAGGAAGGACACATCAGGCTGGGAGGGTGGGTGAGGGGAGGCTGGTGCCCGCCTGATGGGCTTGCGTGCATTCTGCGTGGGCCTTGTCTGGATGTGTGGTGGAGCAGCATTGTGGAAAAGGTCCCAAAGTCGGAGATGCAGCAAGCAGCCCACGCACCTCTCCCAGGGGGCTCCAGCCCGCCAGCAAGCCACCTCGCTTCTCAGAGCCCCCCAGGGTTGGCGGCGAGCAGAGAGGCACTGCTCTCCCGGGAGGAAGGTGCCCTGCCCAGTGCAGCTGGCTCAGCCTCGGCCCCGCTGCAGCTGCTGCGGTCATAATTACGGCTCCGGTCCCCGGGGCCGCCGCATTGCTAAGACTGTGTCGCTGGGTCCCGTGCTGCATTTGCAGAATGCTCCCAGCCTCTGATGTGGTGACGTGGGCAGGCCTGAGTGTCTGGGGGAGGGGAGCTTTTTTATTTTTCCTGTGGGCCTCCAGGAGGGGATCCTGGGGCCCAGGAAAAGAAGGGGCGTGGTGCAGGGTTGGGCTCCACCGTCCTGCTCTTCCTGCTCTGTGACTCTGAACCTGGTGACAGCCACCCTCACTTGGCCTTTTTGGTTCATTTGTACAATGAGCACTGGAGGACTGGGGAGGTGAGCTGCCCAGTGAGCCACAGGTCCATACAGCTCATACCTGTGAGTTCCATGCTCGGCACCTTTGTCCAATCCGGGAGGCAAGACTGGGTGGGCGGCAGAGCGGCTGGGAGGCGCTCCCTGACCCCTGCTCCCTGGCATGCTGGCCCTGGTGCACAGCAGGGAATCTGCTTTGCCAGGAGGGGTCTGGACACTGAGCTTCCCCTGCGCTGACCGGGGCCCTTTTCCCATTTCCTGCCATGTTCTTTTGTTCAGAGGGACTCCAGGTCCTCTCTCTACGTGACCCCATTGACTCGGTCGTGTGACAGTGCCCCCTCCTGCTCCTGTTCCCACTCCCAGACGGAGGAGCTCAGATTTGCTTGAGATCTGTGGGAGCAGTTGGCTCCATACTGCTCTCATGCCACAGTCACTCGCCCTGTGGGCAGTGCCCCTGGGTGCCTGCTGACGCCGGCTGTGCCCCCAGCCTGCCTTAACCACCAGGTCTGCATACATCCTTCACCTGCTAACCTGAAGCCCCTTCCTTCCAGCTCTTCCACCTCCCCCCAGGCTAGCCACACAGTCATGGTACATTTGGTCATGCCCAGGCCCTGGCTCCATGCTTGGGCAACCTACTCCGGCGGCCGGCCAGAAGAGGCAGCTGGGTAAACAGGAGGAGGCGTCTGATGGAATGAGGGCCTCATTTGGCGATATCTTTAACTCAGACTTCCCGAGCAGCTATAGTGGGCTTTGGGTTTTTGGTTTGTCGAGATACCCATCAGCTGGGAGCCAGCCACGCCTCTCCTTCCAACCCCAGCCCTCCTCCCAGTCAGGCCTCTCCCTTCTCCCCTAAGCAGAATGAAGGTCTCCTCTCCCTGCCGCCCTCCTCCTGGGGAGACCCCCACCCTCTGGGGTTCATTTCCAATGCTGCCTTCTACTGCGCCTTTCTCAGTGTGTCCGTCCTCACCTTCTCCCTCTGAACGCCTGGATTTCCTCCCTGGACCATTTATTTTGGCACCAAGGCAGGGTCTAAGGCCTCTTGTGGTTGATCTGTTCTGCGTGTGTACAACTTGTTTCCAGCCAGACGCCGAGCATCCGGGATGCAGGGAGGGGGCTTATGTGTTTCGGTAGCTCCGGTGCCACCTGGTGCGTTGCTAAGCGTGCGGGAGGCGCTTCATATTGAAAGCAGGTGATGTGTGAGCTAGAGTAGGGTGGGGTGGGGACTGTGTCTTTGGTCCAATCTCAGACCCTGGGTAGGAGCGTAGAAGACATGAGAGTGAGAATCTTGGTGAAAGTCACATGGGGAGTCATAGGATGGGGAGAATTTAACCCAGGTGTTCTGGTCTCAGGCTGAGGCTCCAGGTGCCACCTTTTCTGTGACAGCCCTTCCTGCTGGGGTCTCCCTTCTGCCTGCTAGTGTAGGCGTGACTGTCAGTGCATGCGTCCGTGTGTGTGTATGTGTGTGGAAGGAAGCAAGTGTAGCCAACAGTTGTCCAAGTGCAGGCTGCCAGCTCCTCGGAGTAGTCGTAGAACACGTGAGCTGGTGTGTGGCTGCATAACTGGGTGTGCGTGTGAAGCCTGCGGGATCGCCATCTCAGGTCAGCCAGTAACATGGTGCTGCTGGCTAGGGCCTGTGGGCTGGCACAGCACGGGACAAGATGGGGTGGGGCTCTAAGCTCCCGGTGGGCATCGGGCAGAACCTCCGGCCCAGGCCCCCAATGAGCCTGTAGCCCACAGTCTGAGCCCCATTGGCAGTGAGGGATTGGGGGCTGGGGGTTCGTGGGGCCCTTTCTCGGGGCAGGTGCACTTTGGGAGAAGGCCTTCCCCGGAGGCTGAGCATTTAGCAGCCCTGCCACCCCAAGGCAGCTGTCCTGCTCCTCTTGCCGGGCCCCGCCCCGTGTTCGGGCAGACTGGGGTGAGGGGCTCAGGGACCAGCTGGCCACCTCATGCCCTCCCTGCCCTCCAGCCCGAAGAGCTGACCAACGCCCTGGAAATCAGCAACATCGTCTTCACCAGCCTCTTCGCCCTGGAGATGCTGCTAAAGCTGCTCGTGTACGGTCCCTTCGGCTACATTAAGAATCCCTACAACATCTTCGATGGCGTCATCGTTGTCATCAGGTGCGACGCCTGCCACTGCCTCCTGCATAGAGTGCCAGAATGGGGGAGGGGCTGCGAAGCACATTGGCCCAGAGTCTGTACCCCACCAGGTCGCCCCGTGCTCTGCTCCGTCCTCTCCCTCGGCCCCAGCGTGCTCGCAGAGAACCAGGGCACTCTCCAGCCCCCTCCCCACCTCTACCAGCCTGGGGTGGTGAGGACTCAGGAGCTGGCCTTGGAGAGCAGTGGCAGGAGGAGGGCCCTGCTCCCAAAGCGCTTGGAAACTGGTGCAGACGCCGGGTAACTGGCTCCAGGCTTTCCAAGACCTTGAGAGAGGACTGGGGCGGGGGGGGGGGGTCCCTCCTCCAGCCCCCGCCTGGGGCCAGGAGAATGGCTTTATTGCTTTTTGGAATCGGTTTTAGATTTCATTGGAAAAGAACAAAGCAAATATTCCCTAGCCTGATGAGCTTGCCTTGGCCGGATCTGGGGCGAGGGCTGCCTGCTGCGAGGACATGGTCTCTGGCAGGGAGGGGAGGGTGGAGGAAACCGGGGCTGCCCCTGGATCCACACCATCCCTGAGGGGCCCTGCCTGGAGGCTCCAGTGCTGGCAGCCGGGGCGCTCAGGTGTGCTGAGTGCTGAGAGGGTGGGGCAGGAGGAGGGGCCAGTGCAGGAGCTGAGGCTGCCCCCTCCTCCCCACACCCTGCAGCGTGTGGGAGATCGTGGGCCAGCAGGGGGGCGGCCTGTCGGTGCTGCGCACCTTCCGCCTGATGCGCGTGCTGAAGCTGGTGCGCTTCCTGCCGGCGCTGCAGCGGCAGCTCGTGGTGCTCATGAAGACCATGGACAACGTGGCCACCTTCTGCATGCTGCTCATGCTCTTCATCTTCATCTTCAGGTGAGGGCTGGCGGGGATGGGGCGGGGGACACGCAGGGCAGCAGGGCTCCGGGGCCCTGACCCTCCCTGCCCCCCGATCCTGTGGCTCCCACTCCTTGTCTTCAGCATCTTGGGCATGCACCTGTTCGGCTGCAAGTTTGCATCGGAGCGGGACGGGGACACGCTGCCAGACCGGAAGAATTTTGACTCCTTGCTCTGGGCCATCGTCACAGTCTTTCAGGTGCAAGGGTGACGGGGGGGCAGGGACAGGGGCAGTCGGGTGCCTTTGGTCAGGGCCCTGACTCCTGTCCTCGGCCCCCACAGATCCTGACCCAGGAGGACTGGAACAAAGTCCTCTACAATGGCATGGCCTCCACGTCATCCTGGGCTGCGCTGTATTTCATTGCGCTCATGACCTTCGGCAACTACGTGCTCTTTAACCTGCTTGTCGCCATTCTGGTGGAGGGCTTCCAGGCGGAGGTAACCCCCTGCCCTGCCCATGTCAGCCACCCACAGCCTCCTCCTCCCTCCTCTACTGGCTGTGGTGGTCTGGGAGATCCTGCAGGAGGTGCTGCTCCGTCCAGGCAGGGGTGGGCGGCTCCCGGTCTCAGCCTTGGCAGTCCCTCATCACGTGCGAGACAGGATGGGTGTGTGGGGTCTCTGGGTCAAAGGTTAGCTGCTTGATGGCTTTGCTGTCAGAGTCAGCGAGACCTTTCCCCCAGTGAGGTGGGTGAGATGAGAAGCCCCCGGTGCAGCCAGACCCCTGAGTACAGATCAGGGGACCCTTTGGAGCCGGGGGGTACAGGAGGCTTGCGTGCGAGCCTTCTGAGCTCAGGCTGAGCTGATGAAGAGGCCACCAGGGCCCCGGGCAGGGCTGAGCTGCCCAGGGTGAGAAATGAGCCCAATTAGCCTTGGGTATGGCAGAGATGAGCGTCCTATTTCCAGCCCAGCTCCGTCACCTTCGTCACAGGCAGCGTCATCAATTAATATTGATTTACATTGATCTTGCCCTTGCCGTGCCAGACCACAGCCTCTGCCTCAAGGGCCCGCACCCCCTCCTGTGCCTCCACACTGCCTCTCTCCCCACTGGAGCCCCCAGGCCCACAAACACATGGGGCCGCTTGACCCAACCTAGAAATGCTGCAGGTTGGGCCGGGAGCAGCTCTTGGTCCAGTTCTCTCCAGGTGACCCGGATGGAAACTCCCGCTGCGGCCCGCTCTATAAATACCCGGCACATGGTGGAAAAACAAAAATCTATTTTCCGACTCTTTCCCAGCCTTGCCAGGGAGGGCTGTTCCCCGTGGGCCGGGCCGGCTGCTGGGGCACGGATGCGTGTTTCCCACACTGGCCCCTCTGCCGGCTTCCGTTCTCATCCCGTAGCTGTCCGTGCCAGCGCTGCTTCCCTGCTGGGCGGCTTGCAGGGGAGGCGAGGGACAACATCGGCATCTACCCCTGCCCCTGGTTTGGGACATGGATTTGGGGGTTCCCTGGGGCCTGAGGAGCTAAGGGCTGCCACGCTCTTCCGCAAGAGCCAGCCTCTCTGTGGACTCTTAGCTCCCTTCCAAATGGCAGCTCCTGGCTGCTAAGTTTCCCTGGGAGAGCTCAGTTTGGAGGGGGGAGTGGAAAACACCCCCAAGTCTGCTCCCCACCTCCCCCCCCCCCCCGCACCGGCCAGCCGCCTGACATCCCTGGGCGGGGGTGGGGTGGGGGAAGCCCCTCCCGTCATTGACCCTTCAGCAACACCTTGTTGAAGGGAGACCAGCTGAGCCGCTGTTGCTAGGCAGCAGCAGAGGCTTGAGTGTGGGAACCCTGCCGCCCACTCTGGCCTGGTCACCCTGGCCCTGCTGCGGGTCTAGCGTGAGGGCCAACAAGGGCCTGACGACCACACCCTCCTCAGCCTTTGTGGCCTTTGTGGGCGGAGTCTCGTCTCAGCACCTGGACCTTGGGCTGTGATGCCCAAGGATGTGGGATAGGGAAGGGACTGCAGGGTCAGGTCCCTCCACAGGGCGTGTGACAGCAGTCACGGCCCTGATGTGCTGGTGCCAGGAGCTGGGCCGGCTCCGCTGCCCTGCACGTGGCAGATGTGGGTGGTGGGGGAGGTGTCGCCTGAGGCCTCTGATCTGAACCCCTCCAGGGGCTCCTGCCCTCTCCTGTATAGCTAGTCACCCCGCCCCATGCCCCCATGTGAGCAGGGGAGCCTGTTGTTTGTTGCCTTGGGCATGCTTCACCTGCAGGAGCCTCAAGGGTGACTCCCCTCCCCCACTGGCCTTGCCACCCTGCTGAGAAGTGGGGCTGGAGCCTTGCAGGGGGCAGGGCCCTGAAACCCTGTGTATTTATCATGCACACACTTAATCAAGTGAGCAGGCAGCAGGCCCTGTGTGGGGTCGACCGTTGATTGACACTGAACAACATCCCAGCCACCACCCCCGTGTTGCTTGTCCTTTCCCATCCGTGCGACTTGGAGAGACTTAGGCTGAGAGCATGGGGCATCAGGAGACCTGCTTCTGCTCCTTGTCGCCTGCCACACTGACGTTCGTGTTCACGCAGGCCTGCGTCCCACCCTGCCTGCCTGTTCCCCCAGCCCAGAGCCTCGGAGCCTCGGAGCGGCGAGCTGTGCTCTGAGCCGGGGACTTGGGAGTCTCATTGGTTTGGGGCCGTTTCCCTAACTTCTGCAAACCTCAGAGCGAGCTGGGCGGGTGAAGCAGGCGCATCCTCCGTGAACGTGGGCTCCTGCCTGCACGCTGCAGGGTCATGCTGGCCTGGGGGCCCGTGGCTGCGTTCTGGAAGGCTGTCCTGGCCCCCCTTCCCCCTCCCTGTGTCTCGCTTCCCCGCTGTGGGGTTTGCATCCCTCCTCCTCTTCATCCTCTTTGATGCTGCCGGGTGTCTGAAGGCCCCAGCGCCTGTGACCAGCGCCCCTCCCCTGCCTCCCCCTCTGCCTGTAGGAAATCAGCAAACGGGAAGATACGAGTGGACAGTTAAGCTGTATTCAGCTGCCTGTCAACTCCCAGGGGGTAGGTACGCAATCACGAGTCAGCATGCCCCCGCACCCCGAGCCCCCTCCGCCTCCGTGTCTCTGTGCTCGCGTCACGCTCAGCCGCTGTGCAACTGTGGTAGCTGTGGTGGTCCTTGGTGTCGTGAGGTTTGCTTCAATTTTAAGTCCCTTCCCCTGGAGGACATGGAAGGGAGGAGCCTCCACGCCTCTGCCCGCCCACTCCCACCCACATCACCACACACAGGGCACCGGTCCTGTCCCTGCCAGACCGGCGGAGGGGCTGGAGAAGGAAGGGACTTAGAATCCTGTGTGTGCACATGTGTGGGGCACGGGTGTGTGCAGCCGCCGTGCAGTCAGGACTGAGGCTGCAGGACACGCTCCTCTCTCTCCCCTGTACCCCTCCCTCGGGCTCCGTGGTGACCTCACCAGCTGTCCTCCTTGGAGGAGGGTTTGTGGCTCTTGCTGGAAGGCACCAGCATTTTCAGTCTGCCTTGGAGTCTTCTGGTCCCCTCCTCTCCCAGTGAGGCCTTGCCGGCCGTCTCGGGGCCACATTCCTGCCCCGGCCCCCGCGTGGAGCCTGTGCCCTGGCATTGCCTGCACTAGCACCGGAATTTGGGGCAAAGCCAGGATCCCCCCAGGACCCCACGGTGCTGTGCGTCCCAAGCAGCCCCCTGGAGATTGTACTTGATAATTAAAGGCCTCGTTAGGGATGTAAACTGAGTTAATGAAAGTGATCCCCCGAGATGCCAATTACCCAATATTTATGTCCTTATCAAAAGTAGCAATCAAGTATTTTTTAATAACTTCTTAAGGAGAAGTGTGTAATTACTGGGGAACCTACTGACCTGCTAAGAAAGATGAAAAAAAAAAAAAAAACTGCCCCAGAGACGGGGAAGAGAGGTTAAAAAAATAAATAAATATGAAAAAAGGGGGCCAGGGAGGGGGCTGGGCTTGGAGGGAGGAAGCAGAGGGATCCCTTGCACTGAGCTACTCTGTCTGGGGTCTTTCAGTTTCCTTCCAGGGTCCCTGAGGTCTGACGCTTGGGGGAGGGGTCCACGGAGCCTCAAGCAGGTTTTGGGGATCGAAGCTCTAGTGACCACTTCACCCTTGTCCCCAGCCCCCTCGAGCCTGTGCCTCCTGCCTACCCAACTACCCCCCGAGCCAACCTTGGTGCAGGTCCAGCCAGGCTGGTGGCACTGTGGGCTCAGGTCAGCTGTGGCCTTCTCCGAGGTGTGGCTGGGGGAAGGCAGAGGCGGCTTCGGGACGCCTTGGGACCCAAGCCTGGGTGGACTGGCCTGCACCAGTGCATGCCTCGTGCCGTGGTTGCTGGTTCCGTGGCCTCTGTGTGGTGTGTGTGTATGGTGAGAGGGAAGCCGTGGTGCATCCTGGTGACTCCTGCCTGGCCAGGTTGCTGATGGCCTGCCATTCCCCTCCCCTGCCCCAGGGAGATGCCACCAAGTCTGAGTCGGAGCCTGATTTCTTCTCACCCAGCCTGGATGGTGATGGGGACAGGAAGAAGCACTTGGCCTGTGAGTACCTGTCCCGGAGGTGCAGCCCCTGGCCCCTGGCCAGATGTGAGTGGACTCAGGGTCTCTCCCTCTTTCTCTCTCCCCCACTGCCCGGCAGTGGTGTCCCTGGGGGAGCACCCAGAGCTGCGGAAGAGTCTGCTGCCCCCTCTCATCATCCACACAGCTGCCACGCCCATGTCGCTGCCCAAGAGCAACAGCACGGGCCTGGGCGAGGCGCTGGGGCCCAGCTCCCGCCGCACCAGCAGTAGCGGGTCTGCCGAGCCCGGGGTGGCCCACGAGATGAAGTCACCGGTAGGTGTGCATGCGGGTGCCTGCTGGTGGGAGATATTTGGAGGACAGCAGGAAGAGGGGACAGGGGTGGCCAGGGCCCAGGGCCCAGGGGAGTCAGTGTTGGTGGTGCAGGCAGGTGGAGCAGCTCTGGGCTTGGTGGCAAGAGAGCAGGTTCTTCTCTTGCCAAGCTGAGTGACCTCGGGCAAGACCAGTCCTCGCTGAGCCTCTTCTGTCAAGTGGGGGAGGCTGCCCCTCGGTCTTTAATACTTAACCATAAGAATAGCAAACCCTCTTCTGGTTCCTGATTCTGCACCAGACGCCGTGGTGCTTGTAGGCAACTGGAGGCACTGAGTGCTCACTGCAACCCGGTGAGGTAGACACTATCATTGTACCCATTTTAGAGGTGGGACCTGAGTCTTAGGTTGCTGAAGTGAACAACAGGGCTGGCTTTTTATTTATTTATGTATGTATGTATGCATTTTTAAATATTTATTTATTTGAAAGTCAGAGTTACAGAGAGAGAAGGAGAGACAGACGGAGAAAGAGAGATCTTCCATTTGCTGGTTCACTCTCCAGATGGCTTCAATGGCCAGAGCTGGGCCAGGCCAAAGCAGGAGCTTCTTCCAGGTCTCCCATCTGGGTGCAGAGGTCCAAGCACTTGGGCCATTTTCTGCTGGTTTCCCAGGCCATTAGTGGAGCAGCTAGGACTTGAACCAGCACCCATACAGGATGCCAGCATCACAGGTGGCAGCTTAACCCCCTACACCATGAAGCTGGTCCCCCTCACTGTTAGTTTATTCATTTATTTTTATAACTTTATTTGAAATGGCCTAATCATAGTGTGTGTGTGTGATGTTTTAATATGTGTACATTATAGAATGATTAAATCCAGCTAATTAAGAGAGCCATTGCCTCACACACTTACTCGCTAGGGGTGGAGAGGTTGAAAATCTATTCTCTTAGCAATTGTGAAATATACATTACATGATCATTAATAGCCACCATGTTGTGCAGTAGATCTCAAAAGCGTGTTCCTCCTAACTGAAAGTTTTCACCCTTTAAAAATTATTTATTTGTTTATTTATTTTGAGAGAAAGACAGAGACAGAGAGAGGGAGAGGGAGAAGCAGAGATAGATCTTCCATCCACTTCTCAAATACCTGCAACAGCCAGGGTTGGGTCAGGCCAAAGCTAGGAGCCAGGAAATCAACCAGAGTTTCCCACATAGGTGGCAGGGACCCAAGTCCTTGAGCCGTCACCTGCTGCCTCCCCCAGTGCACACTAGCAGGAAGCTGGATTGGAAGCAGAGGTGGGACTTGAACCAAGAACTTTGATTTAGGATGCAGACATCTTAGGTGACTTAACAGGTGCAGCAACGGCTTGCACCCAACAGCTTGCACCCTTCCACAAGTGGCTCCTCATTCCTATTCCCCACCCCCAGCCTCTGGTACCTACTATTCTGCTCTCTACTTCTGTAGAGTTCTGCTTTTTTAGCTTCCACATATAGATGTGATCAGGCGGTATTTCTTTCTGGGTCTTTCTGTGCCTGGTTATTCCACTTGGCATGGTGCCCTCCAGGGTCGCCCATGTTGCTGCAGGATCTCCTCCTTTTTTGAGGCCGGGTAGTACTCCACTGTGTTGTACACTGCGTTTTCTTTACCCATTCATCTGACCGGTGGACACTCCTGTTGTCTCTGTGTCTTGGCTGTCGTGAACAGGGCCACAGTGAACATGGGTGTGCAGATATGGCTCCCACCTACAGATTTTAAATCTTTTGGCTGTATACCCAGGACTGGGATAGCTGGATCGTATGGCAGTTCTATTTTTAGTGTTTTGAGGAACCTCCATAATGGCAGTGTTAATTTACATTCCCACCGACAGTGTACCCGCTTCCCTCCTCTCCACGACCTTGCCAACCCGTTATCCATCATCATTTTATCTATTAGAGCCGTTCTAACAGGTGTGAGGTGATGTCTCATCGTGCTTTTAATCTGCGTGTCGCCAATGAAGATTGATGCTGGGTCGCCTTTTGTGTATCTGTCGCTGTTTGTAGGTCTTCTTTGGGGACACATCTATTCAGGCCCTTTGCCCATTTTTAAAACTGGGTTGTTTTCTTGCATTGAGTTGTTTTACGTTCTTCTTGCCATGCTTTTCTGCCTCCACTTGGCTGATGGCAACGCTTCTCTCATCAGCTAAATGAGGAACGGGCACCACAGCGGAGAGCGCGAGTGGAGGCACAGACAGGGTCCCTGTCTTCCCCAGGTCACACAGCTGTGTGGGGTGAGCCAGGGTCTGAACCCGGGCATCAAAGTCCAGGGCTTCTGCTCTCATCTCTATAACCAGTATGACGCCCCGGAGGCTCACAGGAGACGGGGTGCACCTGGAGGGGCTCAGGGCCTCAAGGCCCTGGCTGAGACCGTCCCCTTCCTCTCGCCCTGCAGCCGAGTGCCCGCAGCTCCCCGCACAGCCCCTGGAGCGCCGCCAGCAGCTGGACCAGCCGGCGCTCCAGCCGCAACAGCTTGGGCCGAGCCCCCAGCCTCAAGCGCAGGAGCCCGAGTGGGGAGAGGCGGTCGCTGCTGTCGGGCGAGGGCCGGGAGAGCCAGGACGAGGAGAGCTCGGAAGAGGAGCGGGCCAGCCCCGCGGGCAGTGACCGTCGCCACAGGGGCTCCCTGGAGCGGGAGGCCAAGAGCTCCTTCGACCTGCCAGACACACTGCAGGTGCCCGGGCTGCACCGCACAGCCAGTGGCCGCAGCTCTGCCTCTGAGCACCAGGACTGCAATGGCAAGTCGGCTTCGGGGCGCCTGGCCCGGGCCCTGCGGCCCGATGACCCCCCACTGGATGGGGATGACGGCGATGACGAGGGCAACCTGGTGAGGCCCCTGTGGGCAGTGACCCCTCACCCCGACCTTGAGAGCGGGGAGCTGTGCCCAGCCTGGCAGGGCGCAAGGAGTCACCATTCCAAGTCCTTGACCTTGACCTCCCAGCAGCCCCTTTCCCCCTCTGCCTGCCCCGCTGAGCCCAGAGCCTCGTGCTGCCTGGGCTGTGGCACTGCCGTCCGGGAGGATATGAATGGTTTCGGGCAGATGTGTATGAATCTTTCATGGCCCTCCCCCTGTGACTCAGAAAGACCCATCATTCATCTCGCCAAACTGGTCCTGGCCCCCCTTCTCATCTGGATCTCGTCACAAGCTTTGACTTCCCAGCCTGTCCTTACCCGTCCCCTTTCCCCACCCCCACATGCTCCTGTCCGCCACCCCTCCCCATTTCCCTGGGGACCCGAGACCGCAGGGTCAGCACTTGAAGAGCGGGTGTCTCCTTAAGCAGGTGTATCTTTAAACTGACAGCTGGGATGGGGACAGTGTTTGACAATTGCTGCAGCTTCCACGCCCTGCAGGGAGGAAGGGGGGAGGGCAGGCAGGGGGCTGGGCTGGAGGCAGGCATGGGACACAGCCTGGGGAAGGGGGTGCAGGGAGGAGAGAGGAGAGGGCACGGGGAGGGGAGGGGACTGGCAAGGTTTGCAGGGAGCTGGGGAGGTGGGTTTAGGAATGAAAGAAGAGAAGCAGGGTGCGGGAGGAGCTGCAGGGAAGCAGCCAGCGGGTGGGGACTCCCGAGGCCTGGGACTGCTCTCACCGCCGTGTTCACTCCACAGAGCAAAGGTGAGCGGATCCGAGCCTGGGTCCGGGCCCGGCTCCCTGCCTGCTGCCGTGAGCGAGATGCTTGGTCTGCCTACATCTTCCCTCCTCAGTCGAGGTGAGCGAGGGGGCTCCGCCCTGTGCCCCACGATGCCATCCAGGACGCTGCAAGTGCACCTTGCGGGGGGGCAGGGGGAGGGTGTGGGGAGGGGCTGGGCCTGCCCCCTCCCAGCCTGCATCCCTGTCCCGGTGCAGATTCCGCCTCCTGTGTCACCGGATCATCACCCACAAGATGTTCGACCACGTGGTCCTTGTCATCATCTTCCTCAACTGCATCACCATTGCCATGGAGCGCCCCAAAATCGACCCTCACAGCGCTGTGAGTGGCCGGGGTGGCACACAGGGCTGTGACGTCTGTGCCTTGCCAGGTCCTCCCCGGGGGTAGCGCTCAGGGGCAGCAGGGAAGGCCCAGGGCCACACAGCAAGAGGCTTCTCCCCGCCTTGTTCCTGGCCCCTCAAGATACATCCTGTGCCCTCCCCTACCTCAGTTTCCCCCTGTGATACACCAGCTTGGCTAAGTGCCCGGTTGCACTGCAGGCTGACTGCAGACAGCATGTTCTCAGGAGCCGCAGGCCTGAGAGGCCTGTGTGAGTCCCTTGAGTGTCGGGGGGTCATCAGCAGGAGGCGGCCCCTGTGTGGCCGCAGTGGTCCTGCTTCCTGGGCTCCCAGCCAGGGCTCTTGGTCCCGCTGGCGACCTGCGCGCTGATGGAGGACATCACACGCAGTCTGCCCTGCGGACACTGCCAGGCAGGACAGGGAAGCTGCCCGTTGCTCTCTGTGCTCCTGAAGACAAAGTAGGTTTTCAGGGGCTGTCACTTCTGCTTGGCCGTGAACCTGTCAATCCTTCTCAGGAGAGGAAAGGCCGGAGGCCTGAGTACTGGACGCAGTGCCTGGGGCCTCACCTCTTCCGATGGGCCCAGCGCCTCTGAGAGCTGCCTCTCCCCAGCCTGGCACCACAGCCCCTCCCGGCTGGCAGTGGCTCAGGTCCCAGAAGGGCAGGGAGCTGGTGGGCTATTCCCCCCACCCCCACCCTGGCCTTTTGCACCACTTGCCCGGAAGTGGCCAGAGGTCCCCTTGTCCCTTCTCACTGCCTCCCACAACACTCTTTGGATTTCATGGCTGCTGGGATTCTGTTTTCTCCTAGGGTGAGCTCCAGCCAGCTGGGGATGGGGTGTAGGGAGCTGAGGAGAGCAGAGGCTGGCCAGGGCTTGGTGGGTGAGGAAGTGCCTGGGGCTGGCGACTCTCCCCTGGCCTGCCTCCTGCCTGAGACCCTGCAAGGCTCTGTCACTGTGTCCTGGTCTCCAGCTCTGTCACGCTCTGCCTGCTGCCTCTGGAGGTCTCTGCACCCCTCTCGCGGCCACCCAGCAGCCCCCAGATACCAGGCAGTTGGGCCACCCCTGGCCTGGCCCAGGCCCAGTATAAATAGGGCTGGGGGAGCACAGGGAGGCTGTGGGTCCCCAGGTGGCTGGCTGCTCTGTTCTGGGGGCCCAGAAAAGCAGGAAAGCAAGTGGGATGGCATACCAGGGTCAGGGGTCAAGTTAATTCCTGCCCCACTCTGAGAAAAGAAATCAGGGAACGGGGTCTGGAATGTGGGAGTCAGGTCCCGGCACGGAGCTGTTGGGGATTCTGTTCCGTACGTGTTGCTGGGAAGGGGTAGGGGGAGTCATTTGCCTGCCTCTTGCAGTTTCTGGCATCTGCGTGCAAACCTGGCCCGTGCAGGGGTGGGGGTGGGGGGACTCCTGAGAGCGGCGCCTGCCTCCTCTCTCTTGCAGGAACGCATCTTCCTGACCCTCTCCAACTACATTTTCACCGCCGTCTTTCTGGCTGAAATGACAGTGAAGGTGACAGGAGCTGGCACTGGTCTGGGCCTTCCAGTTCTGGGGGTGGGGGGACGGGGGTGGTGTCGCTGTGGACCTGGCCGAGGCTGGGCACTGCGGGGAGGGCAGCCCGTGACCCCTGGCGGCTGCGGCCCCCAGGTGGTGGCGCTGGGCTGGTGCTTCGGGGAGCAGGCCTACCTGCGCAGCAGCTGGAACGTGCTGGACGGGCTGCTCGTGCTCATCTCGGTCATCGACATCCTGGTGTCAATGGTCTCGGACAGCGGCACCAAGATCCTGGGCATGCTCAGGGTGCTGCGGCTGCTGCGGACCCTGCGCCCGCTCAGGTGAGCCCCTCCGCCCGCCTCGGGGACACCTCCCAGCACCAGCGCCCCTACAGTGGAACAGCAGACCTCCTGTCTGTGACCCCCACCCTGGCTGATGCTCATAGAACCCTCGGCCCTGGTGTGTCCGCTGCAAGGTGCACAATGCTTTCGGCTCGCTTCCTTCCTCCTCTCTGGGACATGACAGAGGACTTGCTGTGACTGCCCCCTGTACGGAGCACAGCGTGGGGGCCGTGGACAGGGCCCTCAGCTCCAGTGGAAGCTGTCCCTTGGGTGGTCTTCTCAGAGCAATGCTTGCCCCTACCCACAGTGACATGGGGACCTTTCTCCTGGCAGGTGTTCAATCAGGCAACCCCACCCTCAACCCAGGTCTCTTGGATGGGATGACTCTGACTTATTAGTGAGGCTCCCCTGAATGGGCTGCTCTTCTCCCTCTGCCCCTCCCTTCCTCCCAATGCTGCTGGCCGCAAGTTTGTCTCCTGGATGCCCATGGCACATCCCTCCCTTGAGTTTAGGCCTCTCACCCCCAGCCCGATCCATCAGGTGATGCATTTGACATCCTGAAAGCACAGGTGCTTTGAGAGATTCCCACCGCCACCCCCCCACCCCCAGAGCCCAGGAGGTGGCCAGTGAGCCAAGGCTGGGAGTGGGGCTGGGGGACCCCTCTCACAACCCTTCCTGTGTTCCCAGGGTCATCAGCCGGGCACAGGGGCTGAAGCTGGTGGTGGAGACGCTGATGTCTTCACTGAAGCCCATTGGCAACATCGTGGTCATCTGCTGTGCCTTCTTCATCATCTTCGGCATCCTGGGCGTGCAGGTGTGTGGGCCTGGGCGCCAGTTGTCGGGGGGTGCTCACGCATGCTCTCCTCTTGGCCCTGAGTCCTGAGCCTGGAGCCCCAGCTGCTCCCTTCCCTGCAGGCTCCTTGGCCTCCTGGGCACTTTGCAGAACTAGGAGCCTGGAGGAGGGCCTGAGCTAGGTTCCAGGCCCGCGGTCACACCCCTTGGGCCGCGTTCCGTGGGGCAGACGCCGGCCAGCCGGGGCTCTGCGCCGGGATCTCCTCCCTTCCTTGCTTGCTTGAGCAGGTCGGGCTGCAGGCCAGGTCTGGGGATCCAGGGCCTGACAGCTGGGCCAGGTTAGCGGCTGCTGGCAGGCAGTCGGCGCAGACCCCAGACGAGGCAGGAAGTGGGGGCTGTGGGGAGAAACCTGGCCTCCTGCCCAGAGAGGAAACTTGGCTTTGGAAGAGCAAGAGGCAGAGCTGCCTGCAGGAGTCATCAGACGCCTCGGGGGCGCTGGGGAGCCCCTCCGCCCTGGTCTGCCTGCGTCTCCACTCCAGATGCAGCGGCTGCAGGGCAGACAGCTGGCTGTTGGGGCAGCGTGGGAGCCCCTGTGGCCACCACCCGCCCCTCCCCTGCCTGCTTCTTTCAGCTTCCTGGGATGTCCTGTCTGCCCTGGGGAGGGGCTGTTCCCTGGTTTCCTAGAAATTCTCCGGCCCTGGGACCAGGCTGCGCTGGCCAAAGCTGTGGGTGCCCGCCCCTGCCACACACACACTACCCGGAGCCCCCTCCCCACTTCCCAGCCTCCTCAGCTTGCCAGCATGGCCCGTGGTGAGCCCAGGCCTGGGGCTCCTCTTGCGGGTTTCAGTTTGTCCCCAGCAGCTTGCTCAGGCCCCTGGTCCTCCCTCCTCCTGCTCTGGTTCCTTTCTCACCAAGTCCTAGCCCAGTCTACACTGCAAGGAGGGTGAGCTTTCTGGGCAGACACACCTGGGCTCCAGCCCCTTTTCTGTCACCTACTGGTTTTGCAACCTTTCCCAGTGAATTAGGTTCTCTGAGCCTCAGTTTTTCTCACCTGTAAAGTGGGGTTGAGGACGCCTATTTTCCCCCCAGCCCAAAGCTGCTGTGAGAATGAAATGTCTAGCTCGGGAGTCTCACTCCTGAGTGTGATCAGAATCCCCTGGATGGCTCATTGGAAGATCTCTGGGGGACAGGGGTGTAGCCCAGAAGTTAAGATGTCCACATTCCACATCGGAGTCTGGGCTTGGTCCCGGCTCCGGCTCCGGCTCCTAACCCAGCTCCCTTGGGAGGCAGGGGTGACGGCTCAAGTAATTGGCTCCCTGCCACCCACACCTGGATTGCATTCCTGGCTCCTGGCTTGGGGCCAGCCCAGCTCCAGGCCTTGATGGCCTTTGGGCAGTGAACAAGTGCACGGGGAGCTCTCTGTCTCTGTCTCTCGGCCTCTCCAATAAATAAATTAAACTTTAAAAAAAAAAAAAAGATAGAAAGAAAGAACAGAGAAGATCATTTGGCCCCTAGTGCAGAGTGGGATTCAGTGGGCCTGCAAATGTGCATTTCTAACATGTTCCATGGGCCGCCCCCCCCACCTTGAGCACCCCCCACCAGCCCTTGGTGGGAGGTGAATGAGTGTCCCCCTTTCTGTGCTTTCCCAGTAGCTGCCCCAGACACCTTTCCTCCCTGTCCGAGGAAAGGAAGGGGGTGCCTGCAGGGGAGGTCCCCATCGGTGTCTCCCTGGCTTGGCTGAGCGCACGGCCAGTGCGGGCTGGGGCAGGGGAGCTCTGGCCTTCCTGCGGCCGGGCTCAGCTCTCTGTGGCTCTGTGTGTCCAGCTCTTCAAAGGGAAGTTCTTCGTGTGCCAGGGCGAGGACACCAGGAACATCACCAACAAGTCTGACTGTGCCGAGGCCAGTTACCGGTGGGTCCGGCACAAGTACAACTTCGACAACCTCGGCCAGGTGAGAACCAAGCGCTGAGGGCGGGTGGTGGTGGCAGTCTCGAGGGGACACCGGTCGCTGTGTGAGGGTCCATGCTGACTCGGTTGGGGATCTGGTCCTCAGCCCCACCCTCCTCTGTCCCACCACCAGCATGCCCAGCCCACGGCAGCCCAACAAGTTTGCCCAAATGGTCTTTGGGCCTTTTGGAGAAGAAGAGCTGGGGGCTCAGAGAGGGTCAGAGGTTGGCCCAGGACCGCAGAGCTGCACAGCAGAGCAGAGAGCACACGGGGGCCAGCAGCCCTGGCACCCCTGTTGTCAGCTCAGTGACCTTGGGCAGCTGGCTCACCGAAGCCTTAGTTTTGTCAGCTGACGAATGGGGTCCTAGCAGAATCTCCTCGGAGCCGCAGTCAGGAGGCAGAAAGACGACCTTTGGGTTTGCTCAGTGTGCTGCAGGTGTAGGCAGGAGCCGGAATCATGCTTTGCTCCCCTGTGTTCGCAGAGTCGGAGAACTATAGGACAGGAAGTGGCCCGCTCAGCATTGCCGACTCATTCCCAGATCCACCCTGGCTTTAGTGTCTGATTTTCCGGGTCTTTGGGGTCCGTTGCTCTGTCTGAGGTCAGAGAGTGTGACCAGTCAGAGTGTGCTCCAGACCAGCCAGGGAGCCTGGGGCCTGGCAGCTCCCTTGGGGCCTGGAGACTGACTACAGCCTGCCTGTTCCAGGGCTGGGGTGGCCCAAGCTGCTGCCAGGAGGCATTCTGGGAACAGGTGCTGGGTGGTTCAGCCACACATCCTCAATTTCAGATGGTCACCCCCTCCCTCTCCCTCTCCCCACCAGGCCCTGATGTCCCTGTTCGTGCTGGCCTCCAAGGATGGCTGGGTGGACATCATGTACGATGGACTTGATGCCGTGGGTGTGGACCAGCAGGTAGGGCTGGGACCGGCTGGGCCCACGCTGGGGCTCAGGTCGCTCAGCAGGGGTGGATCCCAGGCACAGCAGGTGCAGGCATTGGACAGAAAGCGCAAGGCTGGCTGGCAAATGCCATTGGAGTGGCCTGGAGTCTTGCAGCAGAGGCTGTAACTGGTGGCCTGTGAGCCCAATCGGGTCAGCTTCTATTGGCCGCAGGGTGTTAGATTCTTTTTTTAATTTAATTTTTTTTAATTTTATTTATTTATTTATTTTTGACAGGCAGAGTGGACAGCGAGAGAGAGAGAGACAGAGAGAAAGGTCTTCCTTTGCCGTTGGTTCACCCTCCAATGGCCGCCACGGCTGGCGCACCGTGCTGATCCGATAGCAGGAGCCAGGTACTTATCCTGGTCTCCCATGGGGTGCAGGGCCCAAGCACTTGGGCCATCCTCCACTGCACTCCCTGGCCACAGCAGAGAGCTGGCCTGGAAGTGGGGCAACCGGGACAGAATCCGGCGCCCCGACCGGGACTAGAACCCTGTGTGCCAGCGCCACAAGGCAGAGGATTAGCCTAGTGAGCTGTGGCGCCGGCCTAGATTTTTTTTAAATTAGTGTGAACCTTTTAGCAATTGGCGAGTTTCATTTGAAAATCTAGATCTGCAGCTACTCAGCAGCAGTCTGGAGGTCTGGGGACACCGGGCTAGCGACCGCTCAGGGCGGGGGTCAGCCGGGCCCAGCGAGGGCTTCGGAGAATATAAGGCTACTGCACAAATTTCATGGGAAATAGAATTAAAAGATACATCTATTTTAGTGCCAAAAGAAAAAAATTAGAAATCCATGCACAGGAGTAGGCCTCAAAAACTTCATGAAATGGGCTGGCGTTGTGGCATAGGCTGCCACCTATAGGGACGCCAGTTCAAGTCCCAACTGCTCCACTTCCAATCCAGCTCCCTGCTAATGCACCTGGGAAGGCAGTGGTGCTTGGACCCTGCACCCATGTGGGAGACCTGGAAGAAGCTCTTGCTCCTGGCTGCTGCCTGGTTTAGCCCCTGCCATTGTGGTTATTTGGGGAGCAAACTAGCAGATGGAAGATCCTTCTCTCTCTCTCTCTCTCTCTCTCTGTAACACTACCTTTCAAATACATTTTTTTAATCTTTTTTTTAAAAATTTCATGAAAAAAGCATATAAAAATTGCACGGAATTCAATTTTCTGGAGTAAAAATAAATGTATCATTTAATACAATTTTCCCACAAACTGTGAAGAACATTTGTCCGTGGTCTACTCCACCACAGGCCCCACCCCTCCCTACTACCTAACACCAAGCCCACAGCCTCATATGCATCCCGGTCAGGTGCCTAGACCTATGTGAGTTTGCAGGAGCCCAGGCTTGGGGAAGCCTCTGAGCCTGTTAGCCCGGGGCTGACGCCTCCGCCTGTGCTTCCTGCTCCTACCAGCCCATCATGAACCACAACCCCTGGATGCTGCTCTACTTCATCTCGTTCCTGCTCATCGTGGCCTTCTTTGTCCTGAACATGTTTGTGGGCGTGGTGGTGGAGAATTTCCACAAGTGCCGGCAGCACCAGGAAGAAGAGGAGGCGCGGCGGCGGGAGGAGAAGCGCCTGCGGAGACTGGAGAAAAAGAGAAGGAGTAAGGAGAAGCAGATGGCCGGTCGGTAGTCTTTCCACATCTCTCTGGGTCATGCTTGACCTTGGCCTTGCGACTGCAGCAGGCTGGGGGCTGGGGCTGGGGGCAGGGAGAAGATGCTCCCACCCCCCTCCTCACCTCCTTGCCCCCCGACAGCATGTCTGCCTTTGGAGCCCGCATGAAGCAGCCCAGTTCGGTCCCCTGGGTCTCAGCACCATGCTCCCCAGAGGATGCCTGCTGGGAGCTGCTGCACGGCTTCGTGGCACTGGTACTTGGTGCTACCTTGCCTTGCGCCAGTGTCCGGCAGCCCAGGGATTGGTCCAGGTGCCAGTCCTGCCCACCCTGGGGTGGGTGACCCAGCATCTTGACCTTGCACTAGCCCAGTATCTGTAGCTGCTGATCAAGGCCTTAGCAGAACCTGCAAAAGGGGTAGCAGCTGAGAGCCATCTCCAGACCCACCCTCCCTCCCCGTCACCAACAAAGCCACCGGGATTCCCCTCCCAGCGTCGGGTTTCTCTTTGTCTTTGGTAACACTGGTGCGGGGAAGGTCTGAGGAACTCTAACCTCATGACTCTCTGACCTCTGACCCTCAGCCCCTCACCTGCATGCGCCAGCAGCTCTGGCACTGAGTGAGTAAGGACCCCATCCCGTCCCTCCATGTGCCCTCAGGCTGAGCCCCAAGAGTCCAGGGAGGGTGTGAGAGAGGGGACAGGCGCCAGGCCCCCCCGTTTCTGCTGTGTCTTCAGGGGCATCGGCACCTGGCTGCCTGCTTTCAGGGCCCCTGCGTGTCTGCCTGGTGCCTCTCTCCCCCCATCATGGCCCACGTCTCTCTGCGTGTCTTTATGTGTGGGCTGCTCTAAGCCAAGAGTGTCTGTGCGTCTGTGCTGTTTGGTCTGTGGGTTTCCCTTGCTCTCTCCGCCCTCTCACAACCGTCTTCCTTCCGCCGGTGAGATGCGGGCCGTGCTCTGAGTTGCCCTCTTTGGTGTGTGGACATGTGAGTACCACTCAGTGAGTGAGGGGCTGCCAGGCCCCCGGCCCTCTGCTCTCAGCTCCCTCTCTTGCTGCCTGGAAGAGGCACCTGGAGGAGAAGGTGTGGGAGACATAAGGGTGGATGGGGGTGGGACAGGGCCAGTGTTCCCTGTGAGAGGGGGTGACCTAGCAAGACATGGAGGGGACGCTGGCCTTCGGGCGGCCATGGTGGTACAGTTCTCTGTGCCCCTCATCCATCCACCTCCTGCCCAGCTCTGGGGTAGGAGTCTGGTCCCAGCTTCCCTGTGGGTGTCCGAATCTGAGCAGGTGCACTGTCCCCAGGGCCCCGCCCCCCTCCTGCAGTGGGCCTCCTCAGCAGGATACCACAGATGGAATCCTTTTGACAGGAGGTACTCATGGCCCCTGCCCGGCCAGCTGGCTCCCCTCCTGGGGTCTGTAAGTGTGTCAGGTGCAGCGGAGGGCATGGCCCAGGTAGGAGCCAGCATCTGTTCTCATGACGGACAGGCTGCCTGCTCCTCCCGCTGCTCCCTGCCCCTGTGACCTGGGGGAGCTGGCTGAATCATGCTTGTCTTTTCAAGGTTAGGGCTGGACCTTCAGAACCGCCTCCCATGCTCAGTGCATCCCCTTCATAGGCAGGAGAGGGTTGGAGGCGAGGGGGCCCCACCCAGCGCGCCTGGTCCGGCCAGTGACCCATGTCGTGTTTCGTTCTTTTAGATCTAATGCTGGACGATGTAATTGCTTCCGGCAGCTCAGCCAGTGCTGCGTCAGGTACTGCGTCTGGGGTCGGGTTCATGCGTGTGGGGCCATACACTTTGCTCCCTCTCCATGGCTCATCATCCTATCCTCTCGGGGTGAAGGGTGAGGGTCCCCAGGTCCCCCCCCAAGAGGGCAGGGCTGAAGCGCCAGGCTCTGCGTCATCCCATGGGCCTGCGCTGAGCTGGCCCGGGTACACCCCTCCCTCCCACACCTCTTAGAGGAGCCACTTTTGCCACCGAGTTCCCGGCTCCCAGCCTCCTGCTGCTCCCCTCCCACCTACAGCCTCCTCGCACCTCCCTATTGGGTTATTAGAGCCGCAAATCTCTCCAGTCTCCTCTTGTCTGAAGGGGAGACTTTGATCCGAGGGATCAGGATGAGAGGAGCGGGAGGGGGGAGGATTTGTTTTAAAAATGTAACGATGAATAATTGAACAGACTCATTAGTAGTCAAGTAATCACGGTGACCACGTCCTGGCTACAAACAGCAGGCATTGCAAATCTAAAGCCCGAGTTAGCCACCAGATTCTCCCAGAAAAGCCACAGGTTTGGGAGTGAGTCGGGCCTTATTGCCGAGAGCCACAGCTCTTGGGAGGCCCTCCTGGTCCTGCTCACACTCCCCTGACCCCTCGACCACCTTCTCCCTGGACCCCTGTGAAGTGTGGAGCCCCAGAGGGTCTGTGATGGCCCTGCCTGGCTCTGTCCTACTTGGTAGTTCCCAAACTGTGCAGCCCCAGGCACCCACCTTGTCATCTCTTCCCAAAGACCTCACATTTTCAAAACCTGTCTCTGAAGTTATGAGCACCTCGGTGATGACTTTGTCTTGCCATTTGTACCAATCAAAGCCCGTCTAATTGTTCATCAGAGCTTCCAAGCTGCAGGAGGTCACGCTCTGAATGATGGCAAAGAAAGGCTGTTTTGCCAGCACAGTAGGCTGTGGGGGTCTTTACCAGGCAAACGTGTGATGGTTTTGGAAACATCGAGAACAAAAAGACGCCCATGGGCTGCCTCTTCAGCTGCCAAGGGCTTGGGATTCAGTCTAGGGGACCACTCACTGGCCGCACTTTCTCATCTCCTCCCCACTGCCAGATCCAGGCCAACGCCACCCCATGGGGCTTGGGCTGCCTGGGCCTCAGGGGCTCAGCGACATCCCCAGGAGGGACCCCTAAGCCTCCATTTGGCGGTCATCCCCGGGGCCCAGGGGATGACCCATCTCCCATCCCTGTGGAGCTTGGCCTTGGGAGACCATCTTCCCGGGGGGCTCCGGAGTCTCTGGCTGGTATGGACCTGGGCTGCTGGGGTCCTCATGTCTCTGTCTGGCTCTCTTGCAAACCCCGGAAGCCTTAGCGATGGGCGGGGGTGGGAGGAAGTGACCTCAGCTTTTCCCTGGTACATGCACACCCGAGCACGGCACTCACCCTCGAGGCTCCTCCCCAAGGGGGCCGTCCCATGCATCAACACAGACTCTCAGTCCCCTCCCCCCAAGATGTGACACCAGACGCCCTGGTTACTCCCGCACTACACCCCCAGACTTGGCTCCCTGGCTGATAATGAGGACTCACGGACCCGGAACAGGTGTGCCTGTCTCCCCATGGGCCTCTCGCACGGCCGTGTACGTAAGAGTCACCTGGCGAGCATAAACACAGGTGCCTGGGCCCCCAGAGTGGACTGGCCCTGAGCAGCTGCCTTTCTCACCCGTGAGACTTACGTGCTGGTGATGGGTACGGAGTCCAGCCCCCTTGCTGGGCTGCTGCAAACTAAGCAGGGGCACCACAGCTCCCTGCCAGAGCCACTGCCAGCACCAGGGGGCAGCCACGCCCGGGGCAGGTGCCAGGGACGTCTTTGATCGGCAGAGGAATGGGTGTGAGCAGGCAGCTGGGTCCAGCCCACATCCTGGGTGGAGGGAGGCACGGGGGCTTTCGGGTGATGGGGCCACCTCCTGTGCTCACTGGGCCTCCAGCCCCAGCCCTGTTCTCCTGGGCCACTGTGGCATCCACCTCCACTCACTCTCTTTCCTGCCAGCGGGGACCCAGTGGTTCAGGCCTGGCTTTGGCAGCTGAAGCTGTGGCTTCTGCCATGGAGGCCTGAGTCCTGGGAGTGGCCCCAGCCTTCCGCCCACCCCCTGCCACTCACCTTTGCAGACTGCGTGCCTCCAGCTCCCGGGGACCTCTCCTAACTAACTCACTGTGCCTGCTGCTCTCACTCACAGCCTTGCAGCCCCTTGCTGTGCCCCTCCTCTGCCCGGTACCCTTCTCCCCATGGTCTGACTTTGGTATTCTCTCCACCTAAGGCAGCTAGGAGGCAGAGAGATGGGGCCGCGAGGGCAGTGTGCTGCCAACTCGGGTCCTGCCAGGCCTCGTCTTCCTCTGTAAAATGAAAGGGCTGCCCGCGGACACTGATCGCATCGACCTGGGGCTCTGTGGCCCTGTGCCCCCATGGGGGGCTTCTGGCCGGGCTGGGGTGGGAGATAGGGGTGGAGAGGCTTTTGCCTATACCTCAGGGGTCTGTTTGCTGTCAGCGGAGGCCCTGCCTCAGTCATCCTGGCCCTTCCTCCCTCTGGGTTGTTTGAGGAAGGTCCCTGGCTGATTCAGAGCCCACCCACCCCTTTGACTCCTAGAACAAGGCCAGGAGGTGGCATTGGTGGTGGTCCGCCGGGCCTGGGCTGCCTACCCGGGCAGGCTGGGGTGACAGCCGAGGGGGAGACACTCCCCTCCAGCCTCTCCTCTCCATTGTCTCTGCTAATAATGGGGCTAATAAGGAGCCGCTTTTCCTAACCTAATTGTATTCAAACATTTTAGTTAATTCTCCATTCATATTTTAGCATAATGGGATCGGGTGCTCTCGGCATTTATGGAGATTAATGCGGAGAAAGAGTTCCAGCTGCTATAAGGCACCGTGGGGCGAGTAGCGCCCTTGGTTCTGTGGTACTGAAGGAAGGAAGGAAGAGGCCCGGCCGGCCCGGCCCACCCTCCACGATCGCGGTGTGGATGACCGGGGGCCTCCTGTTATCTTCTGCTCCACCCTGGCCTCTGTGCCCCCACACTCTGGGGCGTCAGGAGGGCTGCCTGGGCAAACGAAGCCACAGTTGGCCGGCCCATCTGAGAATAGAAAGATGGTCTCGTGCTCCTGCCAAGGTGCACCTGCTGATGCTGGGGTCTCTGCCCCTGGGTTATCCACACCTCAAGACCGATGCTGGAGAGTGGCCGGGTGGTCCCTGAGCATGGCAGCCCCCACCAAGCTGAACATGCAGCCCGTGGGCGCTCTTCCTCCTTCGGCCTTCGGTGGGGACCCACCCCAGGCCATTCCCTGCCTCAGTTTACCTCTGTCAAGTAGTCCGCTGCATGGGAAAGGATAGTTATATCTGAGCTGGCCTGGGCCCAAAGCTTCCTGCCACCCCTGAGCCAGCCGACCCCTGGCGCAGGCCTCAGAGGCTGCAGCCTTTGCTGGCTGGCTTCTGCCAAGACCTCCCAGGAGGGGAAGGGCTGTCTGGGACCTGAGGCTGCCCCAGGCCTCCCCGTGGGGAGTCTCTTCTGTCTTTGTGGCTGCCTGGGAGAGTAATCTGTCACCACCCTCTGGATCAGAGTGTCCCCACCTTGGCCTGGCCCTTCCTCGCACCTGCGGGAGGGGCCCCTCAATCTCCTGGTCCCAGAGTTATTCCGCCTGCTGAGCAGCTAGCCTCCTGGCACCGTGATTTTTGTCCCTAAGAGGTTCGCTGATTACAAGAGAAATATTGTGCCTCTGACAGATCTCAGACAGTGCTTCCAGCCCAGCCTGCAGTCTAACGCTGCCCAAACTCCCCGGAGCAGGCTGGGCACTGCCTCATTAGAAACCGGGTGAGTCCGTTGGCTAGGGCCCTCCCAGCTTGGGGCTGGGATGGAGCAGAGCCCTGTGGCCTCCCCCTGCCCTCCCCCAGCGTGCAGTGCAGGAGGCGCAGGCCCTGCCCCCGGAGGCCCTGTGGGTGGGTCAGCGCAGCCAGCAAGATGTCCAATTTCCGATCTCTGGCTTTATCTCCAAATCTCAGCTCTGTGTGATCGAGGGGCTGAGCGCAGCAAAGGAGCCAGAGCCTTCGCCGCTCCGCTGGTGGAGCCTCCTCTGAGCCCGATAAGCCTGGTGGTTTTTCATCTTATTGATCTGGCTGTGCCGCGGAACAGAGTCGAGGGTGCTCCGGGGATGGGGGGGGCTGGTGGATTTTGGAGGCTGCCTGGGTTGAGGGGGAAGGGCTCACCTGGTGTCTAATGTAGGAGGAGAGCTCTGCATGTCCCGCCCCCAACTGCAGCCAGTAGAGCAGATGCTTGGAGGGGCCGCAGCACCGAGAGAGCTGCCCCCTCCACACAGGGCAGTGTGGGGGAGGGGCTGCTGATGACACAGGAATGTTTCAGCTCTGGTGTTCAAGGCTGGGGGCTCTGGGGCACCGTGGGTGGAGGGGATGCAGGGGGGGCAGGGGCCTGATGCTTGCTCCACTCTCTCCCTGTCCCGCCAGAAGCCCAGTGCAAACCCTACTATTCGGACTACTCCCGCTTCCGGCTCCTTGTCCACCACCTGTGCACCAGCCACTACCTGGATCTCTTCATCACGGGTGTCATTGGGCTGAATGTGGTCACCATGGCCATGGAGCACTACCAGCAGCCCCAGGTAAGCGTGAGTGACTAGCCCTCAGCTGCTGCAGCCAGCATGGGGCCCCCAGGAGGGGCTGGTGCAGCACAGGTCAGGCCACAAGTGCTGGGCGCGCTGCGTGGGTTCCTCTGTAGCCCTCGCAGTGATCCTGGGAGGTGGGCGTCATCTTGGTTCCATAGATGAGGATACAGAGAGGTCAGTTGATGTGACCAAGGTCACACAGCTAGAAAGTGGAAGACTTGGTTTCTTTGTCCAGTAAACATGTATTGAATGCCTGCCAGGGACTGGGCTGCAGGCCTTTGACAGGTAAAGAAGGCAGATCTGTGCCTGCTCTTCTGGAATGTAGGTTCTTTTTTTAAAGATTTTATTTTATTTATTTTAAAGGCAGAGTTGCAGAGATTGAGGGGAGAGAAAGAGACTTCCAGCCACTGGCTCACTCCCCAAATGTTCACAACAGCCAGGGCTGGACCAGACCAAAACCAGGAACCAGGTGCTTCCTCTGGGTCTCCCACGCGGGTGCAGGGGCCCAAGCACTTGGGCTGTCTTCTGTTGATTTCCCAGGCCATTAGCAGGGAGCTGGATCAGAAGTGGAGCAACCAGGACTCAAACTGGCACCCATATGGGCTGCTGGCACTGCAGGCAACAGCTTAACCCACCTCGCCAGAAACCCCAGCCCTGAGTTTAGGTTCTAACGAATGCCCAGCTCTGAAACACCCGTGATCATGCCACCCCGGGTCAGCCTCCCCGAGCTGCCCTCCGCCCCCTTAGTCCCCAGCTGTACAGTGAGGAGGTTGGGCCTCCATGCGCAAGGCCCTTTGCAGTCCCAGTGCGAATTCGCCTGTGATGTCCTCACCAGCTCGCAGGTTCAGATCACGCGTGCTGTATCCTGGGGTGGTGGCCGGTGGCCAGCCAGGAGGATGGGAGTAGGGGAGATGGGGCCAGCCAGACTCACCCTGACTCCCAGATCTGGTAGCTGTGACAGAGGGGTGGGGTGGGCGCCTGGGAGACCCTGCCTCTCCTCGTCCCACGCCTGCCAGATCCTGGACGAGGCTCTGAAGATCTGCAACTACATCTTCACCGTCATCTTCGTCTTGGAGTCTGTCTTCAAACTCGTGGCCTTTGGTTTCCGCCGCTTCTTCCAGGACAGGTAAAGAGGGGTCTGGGAGAGCTGGAGGGACCTGGCAGATGGGAGGGAATGGGGCACTTGGCAAGACAGGACCTGGAGGTCACTGGCAGCTAAGAGTCCATGTGGCCTAGCCTGGGGCATCAGGAGCACAGAGCTTGGAGCCAGACTACCTGGACTGGATTTGAATCCTTGTTCCACCACTTAGGAGCTGGTGGCCTTGGGTAAGTTGCTTAACCTCTCTGTGCCTTGGTTTCCCTATCTGTAAAATGGGAGATAAGGATAGTTTCCACAGAACTGTGAGATTATGAATTCCTGATTGTAAATCCCTATCACCACTTTTTTTTTTTTTTAAGATTTATGTATTTATTTGAAAGGCAGAGTTACAGAGAGGCACAGGCAGAGAGAGGCAGAGAGAGAGAGGTCTTCCATCTGCTGGTTCACTCCCCAAATGGCTGCAATAGCTGGAGCTGGGCTGATCTGAAGCCAGGAGTCTGGAGCTTCTTCCAGGTCTCCCACGTGGGTGCAGGGGCCCCAGCACTTGGGCCATCTTCTTCTGCTTTCCCAGGCCACAGCAGAGAGCTGGATTGGAAGTAGAGCAGCCGGGGGCTCAAACCGGCACCCACAGGGGATGCTGGCATCACAGACGGTGGCTTTACCAGCTTCACCACAGTGCCGGCTCCAGTCATGAAGCCCTTAAAACAGCGCTTGGCGCATGGCAGACCCCATGCAGGATGTGCTCAATAAAAAAGCAAATGAATCAAGCTGAAAAGCAGAGGCCCTGAGCCCTGCTTCTGCCACCTGCTGGCCACGTGGCCTCAGACAAGCCACCCCCTTCTCTATAGGATGGGAGGCTGGACTGGCTGGCTTCTGAGGTCCTTCCTAGCCCTGCCTTTCCGTTCCACAACTGCCCCTGCCCCATCAGCTCCCCTTCCCCCACTCAGGGGGCTGTGTCCCGGGTTTCCAGGTGGAACCAGCTGGACCTGGCCATCGTGCTGCTGTCCATCATGGGCATCACACTGGAGGAGATAGAGGTCAACGCCTCGCTGCCCATCAACCCCACCATCATCCGCATCATGAGGGTGCTGCGCATCGCCCGAGGTGGGTGCCAGGTGCCTGCCCTTCCTGGAAGAGGCAGCTCTGAGGCTGGCCAGGGGCTGGGTGACTGTGGCTTGCCAAGGGACTCTCTCCTGCCAAAGAGAAAGGTCGGGCACTGGGCTGAGGGAGGCACGCAACCTGGCTGGCCCCAGGGCTGCCATCCCATCAGCCCCAGCCTCGGCCCGGCTCTGGCTGCCCCAGCAGCTATATGGCTGGGGCCCCAGAGGGTCCAGCTCCTGAGCCTGTCCTGTTCCACAGTGCTCAAGCTGCTGAAGATGGCTGTGGGCATGCGGGCGCTGCTGGACACGGTGATGCAGGCCCTTCCCCAGGTAGCCGGGTGGTGGCGGTGGGGGCTGGGGTCCTCTTGGGGAAGGGGAGGTGCAGGGGGCTCGAGGGAGCTGACTGGGTGGTAGGCAGCGGCACCTTCTCCACTTCTTTTCCTCTCTTCCAGGTGGGGAACCTGGGACTTCTCTTCATGTTGTTGTTTTTCATCTTTGCAGCTCTGGGCGTGGAGCTCTTTGGAGACCTGGGTGAGTTGGGGATGGGGAGAGTGGAGGAGCCAAGGCTGGAGCCAGAGCTCTCCTGGGCTGATGCAGGCCTCTCTCCCCCAGAGTGTGACGAGACACACCCCTGTGAGGGCCTGGGCCGGCATGCCACTTTCCGGAACTTTGGCATGGCCTTCCTGACCCTCTTCCGGGTCTCCACTGGGGACAACTGGAACGGGATCATGAAGGTGAGCGCTTCCCTCTCTCCTGTTCTTGAGCCAGGATCGCTGGGGAAGATGAATTGGACAGGAACAGAAGTATGCGGCCTTCTGTCCCCCGGGCCAGAACGCTCTGGAAGTCCTCTCCCTGGGACGCGGGACATGCGCTGACTCCTACCTCCTCTGCCCCTAGCCCACAACACTGCCCTCCCCACCCCTCCTCCTCCTCCTGCAACGGTGACCTGACTTTGCACGGCAGCTCCTCCTGCCGTCCGCCCCAGCCTCACCCCTCTGTCCCGCCTCCCGCAGGACACGCTCCGGGACTGTGACCAGGAGTCCACCTGCTACAACACGGTCATCTCCCCCATCTACTTCGTGTCCTTCGTGCTCACGGCGCAGTTCGTGCTGGTCAACGTGGTGATCGCCGTGCTGATGAAGCACTTGGAGGAGAGCAACAAGGAGGCTAAGGAGGAGGCCGAGCTGGAGGCCGAGCTGGAGCTGGAGCTGAAGACCCTCAGCCCGCAGCCCCGCTCGCCGCTGGGCAGCCCCTTCCTCTGGCCCGGGGCCGAGGGTCCCGACAGCCCCGACAGCTCTAAGCCCGGGGCCCCACAGCCCGCAGCCCACACCAGAGCAGCCTCCCGCTTCTCGCTGGAGCACCCCACGGTGAGCTGACAGCACCCCCCACGGGGGCGGGGCCCTGGGCTAGCAGGGAGGGGAGGGTGGCCAGCCTGCAGCACAGCCCGCGCCAGGGCTTCTCTGGGTCCTTCTGACCCTCCCACCTGGACACCGAGGGGCCAGCAGTCGCCTGCCCCTCCCTGGAGACAGCTGCCCACAGTAGCTGCACAGGGCAGCCTCGGTGCCCTGGCTGGATCATCCATCCCTACCTCCTCCAGCCTGGTCCGGCCTCCCCTTCCAGGCTCTTAAGTTCAAGGCTAAGTTTTCTGTTTCCTTCCTGTTTCTTTCCTACCTGCCCTTTAACCTGGCTGATTCCTTCCTTCTCGCCAACCTTTCTACTTTTCCTTCCTCTCCCTCCCTCCCCTTCCGGGGGCCCTGCTCCCCTGGCTTCTCCCACACCTTCCCTCTGGCCCACCCCTCCTCTTTCTCTCCGTGCTCTGTGTGTGTGTGTGTGTGTGTGTGTGCCTGTGTGTCTGCTGCTTTCACCTCCTCCCCTCACCTGCCACCACACTGCTCGCCACTGCCCCTCTGACCCCCGCGCCCTTGACTCTGCCCTTCTGGGCTGGTCCTCCCAGGACAGACAGCTGTTTGACACCATTTCCCTGCTGATCCAGGGCTCCCTGGACGGGGAGCTGAAGCTGATGGAGGAGCTGGCGGGCCCGGGAGGCCAGCCCTCTGCCTTCCCTTCCGCCCCCAGCCCGGGCGGCTCCGAACCACAGGTTACTGTGCCCCTGTGCTGTGCCCTCCCCTGACTGCCAGGCTGTGCCGTGCTGTGCTGTGTTGTGCTTCTGGGGAAGCTGGGAGTGTCGCCTTCCCCGCGGGTGTATGGATAAACAGCCTCAGCTGAGCATTGGGCCTGGCAGGGGGACATGGCGGTGCTTCAAGCTCTGGAGCAGGTTGGGAGTTGGGGCGCTGAGACTGCCCTTCTAAGGGAGCAGGATGCAGGAGGGGCTTGGAGAGAGGATTTGGGAGAAAGAACCAGGGGGCAGAAGATGGGCTGAGAGTGGTCCTTTGGGGTGGAGGAAGCGAGTGCAGAGCCAGGGCAGAGAGGCCTCTGGGGTGGTGCAGGGGCAGGGGGCATGCCTCCTCCTTCTCCCATGGACAGCACGCCTCACGCCCGCCAGCACTTTGTTTTGTGGCTTTTCAAACCACGGAGCCCACTGGGCATGATGAGTGTCCCAAGAACAGACGGCTCCAGCTGAGGGTGGGTCTGGGGAGCTTGGTGTAGAAGAGGACTCGGCCCCTTCGCACGGTGCCCACCCTGGGTGTCTCTTCCCTGTTCCCATGGGACCCTGAACTGTCTGCTTCCTGGGCTCCTTCTGCAGGGACCCCCTGCGCCAGGTCCGAGCGCAGGCGAGGAGACAGGTGTCAGCTGCCCTTGGTCGTGTGGTCCCCTCCTGCCCCCCGTGGGCTCTGTGCGGTGAGAGGAGGGATAGGCAGGCAGAGTTCTAGGAAGCGCTTTGCCTGATCCCAGGAACTGCCCAGCACCCCTTGCTGGGAAGGGGCTGAGCCTCTGTCCGACTCAGTCTCAGATGTGGCAATGACCTAGAATGAGCAGAGGGAAAGGGTAGCCCTTCCTGAAGCTTGGGTGGACGGGCGGTGGGAGAGAGGAGGGGTGACTGTGAGGCCCCTCCAAAAGATGCCAGGTGAGCTGACCCAATGGTGCGGCCCAGAGCGCCCGCTTCAGGCCATCTGGAGGGGTGCACGTCCCAGAGCCCGCGGTGTGTGTAGGGGGCAGAATCTGGGGCCAGGCCGAATCCTGCCAGGCTTTGGGAAGCCGAGAAAAAAGGCAGAAAACCAGCTTTCAGGTTGGCAGCATTGTCCCCGGCACCCTCCATGCCGCTCTGTCTGTGCAGAGAGACGGCTTTGCTGGCCTTTTTTTTTTCTTTCTTTCCTTTTTTTTTTTTTTCCTGCCCGCTCGTCCCTGGGGGTGGGGTGGGGTGGGAGGAGCCTTGGCGGGGCTGGGGGTGTCCCTGGCTCCCTCAGCGTGGGCTCTCTGGCTGCCTGCCACAGCCTCTCGATCCGAGCAGGGGGGCGGCGGCGTAGGGGAGGGGAAGCCCTGGTCGGGTTGGGGAGGGGCGGGAGCGAGCAGGGACGCGCCCGAGCGTGCGCGTGCACACGCAGCGGCGCGCTGTCCTGGTTTCTCACGCCTGCTCCTCTCTCTCCCCGTCTAGATCGCTCTAGCGGAGATGGAGGCTATGTCTCTGACGTCAGAGATTCTGTCTGACCCGTCCTGCTCTCTAGCTCTGACGGATGATTCTTTGCCTGATGAGCCTCACACACTCTTACTTAGTGCCCTGGAGCGCAACGTACATACACATGCCCCCTGGCTGCCCCAGCCACCCCCTCAACCCCCGGGGCTGGGCTGGCTGCAGGGCCCCAGACAGGCCCAGGGTGCCCCTGCCCCACCCCACCCCACACCCCAGAGCCTTCCTCCCCGCCCCGGAGGCACTTGGTGCCCCCAGGCTTTGTTGGCAGGAGGCCTTGCAGGTCCCCCACTGGGGACAGAGAAATAATCGGGGCGTTGCCTAGAGGGCTGTAAGGGCAGCAGTGGTGAAAGGGTTAATCCAGACACCCAGGAGTGACATCGCCAGAAACACGGGTGACCTCAGAGCCAGTGTCTGTGGAGCCCGGTGCCAGCCAGCCCTACCCCTCCCTGCCCCACACCACACCTTCCCCACCGCGCAGGGGCTGAGGGTCACATCTCTGCTGCCACCACCATGCCCTTCTTCACCTGGGGGCTGTTCCTGTTGGCTCTGTCCCTGTCCCTGTCCCTGTGTCCTCGCTGCCACACTCCATGGGTGTGGGGGGCTTCTCTGTGTTTTGACAACTTCATGCCCTCTCCCAGCTCCCCTGCCCCCTTCTACCTATGAGCAGCCCCCTCCTCCTGGCCCCTCCCACTGTTGTCAGAGCAGGGCCCAGGCTGAGGGACGCCCTGGGGTCCTGGGTGGGGTGACTGGCAGCAGTGAGCCAGGGAAGTGAAGGACCCCCCAGGCCTGCTGAGGACCCTACAGCTTCCCTGGGAACCTGCATTCAGGGGGACGGGCCCGCAGGGAGCACTGCTGGGCTCCCCATGCCGGGCTGAAGGGCTGGTGACCACCTTCCTTTAAAACAGATGTGAAGAAAACTCATTTCCATCCCCAGTCTGCCCACTGAGGCAGGAGCTCGATCCATACCCAGGCCTTGCTCCCGGCTTCCACCGGGAGTCATTGTGTTGCTCAGGTGGGGGTGGGGAGAGGGCTGTGACACCCCCCACCCCGGTGTTCATCTATCACTCAGTGGACATGAACCTAGCTCAGGCCTGTGCTGGGCCCTGTGGCCACCACCACCAGAATTGGGTATGCAGTCCAACCCACAGGACCCCCGGGCTGCCCAGGCTCCTGAGCCCCAGCATGGGGTAGGGGTGCACTGTTAGCTTTTAACCCTCCCCTGTGCTGCTCTAGGTCACAGCCCCAGGCCCATACCCTTTAGAATCAGCTTTGGAGCCACCTGTAGGGCTGTGGTGGGGGCGGGGGCTGCTCTTCTTTCTTTGGATCCCTCTGCACCCCTCCACCATCCCCTGGACTCCCAGTGATGCACCTGCGCACAGGGTCCCTGGGGGAGGCCCCTCCTCCCTCTGTGTGGAGGGCTCATCTGTGTGTCTGCCCCTCCTCCCGCCACACTCATGCCCATTGCCACGTCACCCTGGGAGGGGAAGGGGGGCCAGGGCCTGACGGTGGGAGTTGGGAGGTGTTTGGTGTCTGTGGTCTGACTCAGCCTCAGTTACAAGCCTAGATGCCCCCTCCCCCCTCTCCCATCCTGTCCCTGTTGCAGATGGAGCCACACCCCGAGGAGGTGCCCGCCGCCCTGGGACCAGACTTGCTGACTGTGCGCAAGGCTGGGGTCAGCCGAACACACTCTCTGCCCAACGACAGCTACATGTGCAGGGACGGGAGCACTGCCGAGGGGTCCCTGGGACCCAGGGGCTGGGGGCTCCCCAAGGCCCAGTCAGGTACCAAGGCTGGGGCAGGCTGGCTCAGCTGACACAGGGAGAGCACAGCCTGGGGGAGACTGAGGCAGCTCTGGACCTCCAGGGAGCCCCCAGCCCCTGCCTGAGGGGAGAGGCTTTCTGCCCAGGGTGGGAAGGGTGGGAGGGGGGCCTCAGACCGCTCCTGACCCCCCTCCCCCCCGCAGGCTCTGTCTTGTCTGTCCACTCCCAGCCAGCAGATACCAGCTACAACCTGCAACTTCCCAAAGACGCACCCAACCTACTCCAGCCCCACAGCGCCCCGACCTGGGGCACCATCCCCAAACTGCCCCCACCGGGCCGCTCCCCTTTGGCTCAGAGGCCACTCAGACGCCAGGTGAGCAGGTGGAGGGGGGGCTGGGCCTGGGGGCTGGGCCCTCATCTTGGATTTCTGGGCCAGTGGTGGCCACTGGCGTCTACACTTTTCATTTTCTGACAAATACACCGTGTGTGCCAGTGATGGGCCATGCTCAGTTCTAGATCCCAGGGGCGACACAGAACTGGTCTGTGCCCCGTGGGAGAGACAGGATGGGGCTAAGGTTGTGCAGGGCCATGCACACCAACGGGGAGGGAGAAGCCAGGCCTCAGCTGCCTCCTCCATTCTTTGGAACAAGCCAAGGGGCCTAAGGCAAGTTTTAGGCATCCTCACTTGTGGCCAAACGCAGGGCCAGTCTCCTGGGGCACAGAGCAGAGGCTCCTATAACCGGGTGAGGCTTGTCTGCCCCCACTGCCCAGCCCATGCCCATGTGTGCCCTTGGGCATGGACACATGAGGCCCCCGTGCCCCCAGAGGCCAGGCGCAGACATGTCACCAGGTCACAGGTGCAGGAGGCTCACGTGTAGGGGAGGAAGGGTCAGTTTGACTCGGGGCAGAGACTGGCAGGGTGTTCAAAGCCACAGGAGAGTCCACGCAAAGGCTGAGAGACCAGGAGGAGTCATCTGGGCAGCAGAGCCGGCCCAGGAGCTTCCTTGGCTGCCAGGGGTCAGGGGCTGCAGGGGGAGGAAAGCCAGGGCGCAGGGAAGGGAAGGCAGAGCTTAGGGTGGGGAGGGGCTTGGGAACAGTGGGGGTCAGGCTGCCCCAGGGCATCGCAGGATCCTCATCCCCCAAGAAGAGCAGCTGTATGGGGTCCTGCACTGTATGGGGCAGGGGCTGGGGGATGCTGGGGGCAGGTAGTGCCCGGTCTGAAGGAGAGAGCCCTGTGCTCAGCCCTCCCCAAACCCCAACCCCACCCAGGCAGCAATAAGGACGGATTCCTTGGACGTTCAGGGCCTGGGCAGCCGGGAGGATCTGCTGTCGGAGGCGCGCGGGCCCTCTCCGCCCCTGGCCCGGTCCTCCTCCTTCTGGGGCCGGCCGAGCATCCGGGCCCGGCAGCACTTTCGCAGCCAGAGCAAGATCTCGAAGCACATGGCCCTGTCAGCCCTTTGCCCTGGCCCCGAGCCCAGCCGGAGCAAGGGCCCTCCAGAGACCAGAAGCAGCTTCGAGCTGGACACCGAGCTGAGCTGGGTTTCGGGGGACCTCCTGGCCCTGGGCAGCCAGGAGGCGCCGCCCTCCCCGCGTGACCTGAAGAAGTGCTACAGTGTGGAGGCTCAGAGCGGCCGGCGCCGGCCTGTGTCCTGGCTGGACGAGCAGAGGAGACACTCCATTGCCGTCAGCTGCCTGGACGGCGGCTCCAGCCTCGCGGGCCAGCCGCTTGGGGGACCTGGGAGCCGGCCCAAGAAAAAACTCAGCCCGCCCAGTATCTCCATAGACCCTCCCGAGAGCCAGGGCGCGCGGCCCCCGGCCAGCCCCGGCATCTGCCTCCGGAGGAGGGCTCCGTCCAGCGACGCCAAGGATCCCTCGGCCTCCGGCCCCTCTGACAGCATGGCTGCCTCGCCCTCCCCAAAGAAAGACGTGCTGAGTCTCTCCGGTTTATCCTCTGACCCTGCAGACCTGGACCCCTGAGCCCCTTGCCCACTCTCGCCCCTCACCTCTTCCGCCGGGTGCCAAATCTTAGCTCCTCCTGCTGAGCTGTGTTCCTCAAGAGACTCGGAGGAGGGGCTCCTTCCCCCACCTCCATGGCTCTGGGTCCCTGCAGGCAGAACTCCCAGAGAGTTCCAAGCAGTAGCCCTGGCTGTGGAAGGGAGGCCCAGGGCCACCGAGGTTCCCGCCAGCAGGAGCTGTCGGGAGAAAGCAATACGTTTGTGCAGAATCTCGATGTATATTCTATTTTATTAAATTAATTGAATCTAGTCTATGCGGGATGTACCACATTTTGTGACTGAAGTCACTTGTTTCCACTCCTGTGTGTCTCAGAATATTTCTGAGGCGAAGGCGTCTGTCTCTTTGCTGTTTTAACCCAAAATAACCAGTCTAGTGATATTCTCTCTTGCAAAGCACAAGCGGGAACCGCGCGTGCATTCCAGCCCCGACGGTGGCCCATCCTCAGCGGAGAGGGAGACCCCTTTTGGAAACTGTCATGTAACTTATTTTCTCCTTTAACCTCGACATCATTTTCTGTAGGGGGAAAAAAAAGAGAAAAAGAAAAAAACAGAAAAAAAATGAGATTTTACAAATGAAATGGAACCTTTTTATATATACATACATACATATCTATATATCTCTATATCTATAATAAAGTAATTTTCCAAAATAAAAAGGTAATCACGGTCCCGAGTAAAAAAGCAAAGGGGATGCATGGAGAGTCAGGCACGTCCAGAGGGGGGCGCTGGTGAGGTGGGGGGGTGCGGAGGGCGGGATGCTGGGGCTGCCTGTTGGGGGGTGGGGGGACTTATGTGTTGTCTGGGGCTAGGAGGCCCCTCTCCTTGGCTTCTGACTGGAGGAGCAGGGTCTCTGCTCGCTGCCTCCTCCTAGCCAGGCAGCTCAGCGAAAGCGAGCAATTCCAGATTAACTCTCGTTTCTGCTGACAGCTATCAGCCGCACACTGAAAGCGGGAAATTGGCATAATGAAGCTGTTTGGGGTAATGGGGCTGATGATGGAGCCTGGGGAGGCAGCCTCAGCTGCTGCCGAGTGGCTCTGTCGCGGCGGGGGGCGGGGGGGAGGCCAGGGCTTCTGGGTTTTCCATGCTGAGGCGGCTTTGGCTCCAGATCTACCAGGCGTCTGGCTCAGTGGGTCCCCTGAGCAGGGAGGGAAGGGGACTTCAGCCTCCTGCCTGGGGGGACCCTAGCGGACTGGCCCTGCCAGTAGTTGCTTGAGCCGGGCAATGGGATTCAGCTGTGTAAACGGAGTGGCTCCCTCTGGAGGACAAGGTGAGCAGGCCAGTGTCCAGAGGCCACCTCCTGTGGCCAGGCTGCTGAGGAGGGAGCCAGTCCCCTGGGGCGTGATGGATGAGCATTGTCAAGGTGTTTACATGGACGGCTGCTGTCTGCCCAGCGGGAGCCAGTGGCCGGGAGTACAGGGCCTCCCACCTGCCCTCCCTGCCTCCCCACAGTGCTGTCTTGTGTGGAAACCCTGGTGTCAAGAGGCAGTGACCCCCCCCAGCTCAGCCAGCCCCACTTGCCTGCCAGCCACCCCCAAACCCCACCTCCCTCCGCGCAGCCCCTGGCCCTCGCTCAGAACCACATGCGCTTGGCGGAAGCTCCCCCACAGGCCCGTGTGCCGGGCAGCGGGACCTGGAGGCGATGTTGGTGAGAGCCTCTCTGATTGCTCTTTTGTACAGAAGTGCCATCACCCTTTGAACCAAGCACCTGTTTTGATCCCCGGGGCGGCGGTGTGGGGAGCAGGAATGCCAAACCCGTTTTCCTCTAGCTTCCTTGAGGCGGGGAGAGGGGTGCTTGTGGGGCTGCCTTTTGCTGTTCCAGCAAAGCTGTGTGTGCCAAATTCCTAGAGCTTCCTCACCTGGATCTGCAAATTCAGCTTTTAACTGTAGGTGGAATGTTGCTGGATTCTGAGCTCCCATGAGGGTGAGAGATGATGGTGGGGAAGGGGCTCTCGGACCCTTTTCCTTCTGGTGGCGGAAGGGTTCTGAGTCAAGGTGAAAGCAAAGAGCTGAGATACTACCCCCTCCCTCCATCCCAGCCCCCTTCCCACCCCTGCTATCCGTCCGTCTGTTCGCTGTGGACAGAGGCTGACTCTGAGTGTGCCTGGTTCTCTCTGGGGTCCTCTGCCCGGGTCCCTATTCCCAGCAGGGGCCCAGGAAGATTGTCTGGGCTGCACCGGCTTTTCTTGGGGTTGCTTTCCGGAGAACAGCAGTGGTCAGCCTGGTGCAAGGGAAGAGGCTCCTTGTCGGTTCCCATATGCCCGTCGGTGAACCTGGGGTTGCCCTGGGGTGGGGGTGGGGTGGGGGCATCTGGGCAGTGCGGTGTCCCCTCCCCCAAAGAGAAAAGGTCTTCCTCCACGTGGAAGCTGTTGTATTTCATTAAGAGGGTTTTGACGTGAAAATGACGATGCTGCTGAGTGCTGTGGGCAGCAGTAATGGTAACGCGGATGCTAATGTCAGGACGCTTGTCCGGACGGTGAGGATGTCTGAAGGAGCTGGGGCAGGCAGGGCCTTGGACCCAGGCTCCAGGGGCAGGACTGGAGCAGGCAAGGGGCTTCCGGTGTGCAGGGGCCTTTGAAAGGAAGCGCATGGACTCGGAGCTTCTGCCATCGGCCTCTCCTCAGGGGTTCAGAGGAAACTGTGTCACTCGCTGCTGCTCAGCCTCCACCCCCGAGACTCCAGGAAAAGGTCTGTCTGGGGGTGGGGGCCTGGGAGGAGTGCGCTGAGCTGGTGCTAAAAACAAACCTGAGGCTCAGATGCAGTCTCTCACTTACTCCTCACAACACCCAGGCGAGGGAAATACCAATGCTATCCTTCCGCGAGGCAGTGGATTCCGGGAGTCCACAGAACTTACCCAAGGTCACACAGCCAGGGAATGGCAGAGTAGGGGTTGCACCCCAGCCCACCCTCCCCGCTGGGGAGGCAAAGGGACGTGGTGGGAAGAATCCTACTTACAAAATGACTTGCTAGGGGCAGGCTTTTGGAGCAGTGGTTAAATTCTCTGCTTAGGACACCTGCAGCCCCTGTAGGAGGACCTGGTTCAAACGCCAGCTCTTCCACTTCCCATCCAGCTTCCTGCTAAGGCAAACCCTGGGAAGCAGCAGGTCATGGTTTAAGTGCCTGGGTCTCTGCCACCCACATGGGAGACCCAGAGTGAGTTCCAAATTCTGGGCTTTCAGCCTGGCCCAGATGTGACTGTGGCAGGTATTTGGTATTTTCTCTCTCTCTCTCGCTCTCCCCCCTCCCCCTCCCTCTTTGACTTTCAAATAAAAAAAAGAAAGAAAGTAAATTTTAAACACTTAAAGTTACTTGCTAGTGGGCTGGTCAGAGCTGACTGTGCAACTCTTTGGCCTCCCAGTTGCCACCCTTTCCTGGCATGAGGCTGCCTTTGAACCAGGGCACCTGCTCTCCTCCTCCTCTTCCAACCCCCTTCCTGTCCTCCACCCTTGCCCTACCCAGACCTCACCCACTTTCCAAACAGCCTCCACCTCCCTCTGCACCCTGGTCCCCACCCCTCACAGCCTGGTGCCCCATGGCCTCGTACCCCCTCTCCTGGGCTAGCTGTGAGCCCAACCCGTGGGACTGGTGACAGTGGTGCAATGAGGGCGGCAGGCACCAGGTGGCAGCACAAGGCACCATCCCCTGGTGCCACAGTGCGCCCCTTCTGCAGAGGGGCCCAGCCAGAAAGGGGACCCCACTGCTGATGGACACCTCCCTTGGACAGGTGAGCCCACAGGGCCCCAACAAGGACTTCATGCTGAGGAAGCCCACCAGGAGTACAGCCTACCTGAGTGGCCCCACGAGTGATCTCTACCTAAAGCCAGTGGATCCAGAACTAACCCAGGCCAGCAGCTGCCTGGAGCAGGATTAACTCTGTGAGCAGGCTTCCCCGTGGACTGTCACCTTACTCAAGGGCTGAGTGAGGCGGGTCAAGGAGCCGGCTACTCAGCAAACCACCTGTCCCCCGCCGTCTCCTGCCCCCGCCACTGTTCCCCTACAGATAATTCGGCTCGGGACTTTGAAGCTGTGCGTGTCTTCGCCCTGCCCCAGGTGTGGGAGCTGCTGACTGTGGCCTCCGGAGCTCATTAATTCTTGCTTTGAGAACTCCTGAAGCAGGTGCAGCAGCCAGCACTCTCACATGCATGCCAAATCAGATCCAGGGCTAGGTTGTGGATGGAAGGACAGCCTCACTTAGGGCAGTGAGCAGGGGACCCGCCCAGGCTGCGGTCCAGAAGAGAGAAGGGAGAGGTCTGGGGAGAAGGGAGCCGGAGCATGGTTTGGGGGTGCTCCAAGCCTTGAAGGAGCCACGAGGGGCTAACAGGAAACAGGCGCTAAGACAGAAAGTGGCTTTGCTGTCCCCAACTCTGTCCCCTGCTTGTCCTTCCCAACCCCCACCCCACCCCCACCCCACAGCCTCTCCTGGGTCTCCCCGTCTGCCCTTGCTCCACTTTCTCCTCCCTGCTGTCAAGCCTGCTCTGGGCTGCACCTGGCAAGGATCTTATCTCGCCATCTCCTCACCAGGAAATCCCTGATGCTGGGTTCCCCTGGGACTTTTGCGGGCGGGGGAAGTACTGCCCAGGCTGCCCAGGGCAGGCAGAGCTGCAGGCAGCTGCAGGGAAGGGGAGATGGGGGCAGGCGTTGTCCTGTCTCTGCCACAGCCCAGCCCACAAGGCCTTTATTGCTGCTCCCAGGAGCCCTGCAGCCGGAAACACCTTGGTTTTTGAAAACCCAAAAGCAGAGTGGGCGACACCCCTGCAGGGATTCTAACTAAGGCCCCGGAGTCTTTTCCACCAAGGACCTCTTAGAAAAAGGCATCCACGCTTAGTCAGCAAATACTTCCTGAGGCCCCACTTTGCCAGGCACTGTCCCAGGTGCTGAGGATATAGTGAGAAACAAGTCTCGGTCCCTGTCCACAAGGAGCACACGGTCTCCATGGTAACAAGGCAGGGAGAGGGGTGGGCAGTGGGAGGGGTCCCCGCTCAGGGGTGGACGGGGGAGCTCCAGCGAAATCTTGAGGGAGAAGCAGAGCCTGGCAGGTGCAGAAAGGGAGGCAGGGTGCCGAGCAGCCGTGAAGGTGAGCCGAGGATGCTGGGAGCGTCCGGAGGACACGGGGCTCATGCTGCCTGGGCCGGGCTAAGGTCTCTTGCCCTGGGAAGCTGGGGTGGGGGTGTCTCAGGCCTCGGAGCCCGTGCTCTGCTGAGAACAGCCAGGCAAAAATATCCTGGAATTCCTGTGATAGTTATTCAAGGGCTGTACAAAAGGGACCACGTTCCACGAGTGGTGAGCGGCGCTGAGTAGCCTGTGCCTCAGGAGAGACGGGCAAGATGAGGACCAGGACCACTAAGGGACCCAACCCGGTGCTGCAGCCTGGGGGGAAGCAACGGCAAGACCATAGGGCTGGGGCCAATGGGAATGGCACTCCCTGGCCCCAAACGGGAGCTCTAACCATTGGGCAGCCTGGCCAACCTGGGCTTCAGAAGTCCCAGGAGGAGGCTGAAGCTGGGCTTCCCATCTCTGGAAGGCGAGCTCACCTCCCCAGGCATCCTGAAGGAAGGCCCAAGGCCAAGTCTCCCCCAGGTCTGAGCCAGCCCTCATGGTTTATCTGGTGCCTGTGACCCGACAGGCGCAGGAACGGGAGAGGGTGCGGGGTGTGTGTGTGTGTGTGTGTGTGTGCAGATGAAGCCGTGCCTGGGGCAGCGGCAAGGCTGCATGAGGATCCCCAGGAGCAGCCTAGACCCCCCCCCCCCCCCCGCAGCGGGGCTGGACAGGCGTGCAGGTGCACCTTGTCCAGGTTGCTAACGAAGCTGAGCCTCAGAGACATCAGGGAGCTTGTTGAGGTTACACAGGATACCAAAGGTCCTGTCTGAAGCAAGGAGGGGACTGGCCCAGTCGGTCCCTGCCCTGGGGCCTCTCAGCCTCTTCACCATGGGGCGCCGTGGCAGGTGGGGGAGTTCTGTCCTTTTTGCCCAGAGATGGTGTGGGGGCAGAAGGAAGGGGGTGTGAATGGGGAGCGGAGGGGAGAGGGCTCAGAGGACTTGCCCGGTGAGGCGGGGGGGATGGAGGCCCTCGGGACCAGCTGCCTGGGAAGTGGGAAGCCTGCCACCCCATGGCACCCTCACCCTGTGTCCACTCAGATATTGGGCTCGAACAGCCCAGAGCCAAAGAGAGTTCCCTTCCGGTGCCAGAGGGACAGGAAGTGGCCTGCTCCGAGGGACAGGAAGCGGCAGCTGCTTCTGCACTCTTGCTGGCTCTCACCCCTGCCGGCTGCTGAGCAACCAGGGAAGGAAGCAAGCAGAGAAATGCCTGGGGAGGGATCGCAGGGTGAGGCTGGACAGAGCCTGTGGGCAGGCACAGGAGAGAGAGGGGCCACGGACAGGTGTGGGGGGCAGAATCCCTGCTGGGTCCCTAGAAGGGGTGGTCACCTGGCTTCTGGGGCCCTGTAGGAGTGAGAGATGGAGGGGCCCCAGTACGCCCACACGCCCAAGCCCATTTCAGAGATGGAAGTGTGAAGTCAGCCTCAGGGGGAGGGGGCTCACGAGAGGCTTCTCCCGGTGCTTCACCTGTTGTCCACCCCCACCCCCACCCCCACCCCAGCAGAATGAAGGTTCGCACCCTGCGGGCGCCTGCCAGGCGCTCTAGACAATCCGCTGTGTGTGGCTTTTCCATTTACTCCTCAGAGAACCCTGCAGGGCAGATCCTACTGTGATTGGTCCCATTTCACAGAAGAGAAAGTGAAAGCTGGAGGCACTGGAGTAGCCTGGGCAGGACCAAGTAGCCACAGGAGGCAGCGATTTGAGAGGATGTTGCCACGTAGATGGTGCTGGGACCTCCCCCCCCCCCATGCCTGCTCCCTTGCACGCGTGCACACACACACAAGCAAGTGCACATGGGGCACAATGCCGGCAGCTGGTGGGGAGAGTTGGCTTTCCCCATTGCTGGAGAACACAAGTTCTACCCATTTTACAGAGGACACAGCTGAGGTCCAGGAACAAACATGAACTTGTACCAGGGGGAGGATCACTAAATGCTGCTCCTTGATGTCACTGGGCAGGTGTGTGTGTGTGTGTGTGTGTGTGTGTGTTCGTTCCAGGTGGTCGCACACGTGTGCCCCAGTTCCCCTGGGAAACTGCCCCAGGCCTATCAGCCTCCAGATCTGGTGGGACAGGCCCCAGCGCAGCCCAGGGACCACCCACGGAGTTGTCACCATGTTGGCCCCGCCTCTCCCCCAAAGTCCCTCCCAGCGCTGCAGTTTCCCTAGGCGGTGTTGTAACCGCCAGGACCCAGAGGTCCCGGGGATAAGGCTTGGCGGGGCGTGCCGGGGCGGAGCGCAGGGCCAGGGGTGGCTCCCAGCACCAACTCACTCCGTCCGCCCGCGGCTGTGCCCAGCCGTGCTCGCCTTCCTCGCCCCACGGAGTCGGCCCCATGGACGCCCTGTGCGGTTCCAAGTTCTGGGTAAGGCGCAGGGTTCGGCGGGAAAGGGGACCGGGGTGAGCCGGGGTCTCCTGGTCCTTGTCGCCTGCCTTCCTGCGGGGGCCAGCAGATGCCCTGAGACCAAGTGTGCTCATGGCAGAAACCCCAGACTGCCAGCCAGGGGTGCCGGGGATGATGGGGCTGGGACCCACGAGGCGTCCCAGCGTCCAGCGCTCGCCCTGTTCTGCCCTTCTTGGCCACACGGAGGAATCCAGGAAAGTGAAACAGGAGGCTGCCTGCAGGTTCCCTGGGACTCAGGAAGTGCTGCCAGTTGCCACTTCCCCAGCTCCTGTGTGGTTCGCGTGCCACACACGCCCTGCAGGTGCAGCAGGGGCACCAGCCTGGCAACCCAGCCTTGGGACCCCAGAGTCCCTGCTCCACCACGGACTCTGGGAAGGCTGGCTCTGCGGGAACTCTCCTTTCCTGGGAAGGGCTTCTGCCTCCTTTTTTTTGCCTCTGGGCAAGATCCACCTGCTGCAGGTGTGGGAACACAGCAGTGCTGGCATCCTCACCACCTGCACTCAGGAGGGGAGGGCCAGGCACCACCTGGGGCAGGCCCTCCCAAGCCCCGGGCATCGGGATCCCCCTAGTCCCAGCCTCCCTTTGACAGATGGAAGTTCACCCGGGGAGAGGAAGGGACTTGCCAGAGTCGCTCTGTTGCATGCAGGCAGAGCTGGGGTGAAACAGCAGCGACCCTCAGATCTTTTTCTAAGTTGATTTTGGGGCTGCTGACCACAGGCCCCCAGTGCATGAAATGGTCCAGCCTAGGCACTTTCGACGGTGCGGTGCGTCTGCACTGCGCAGAAGCAGCTAAGAGCGCAGGGATCTCTGCGCACAGCCAAGGGTCTCCAGCGTAGGCTGCTCTCAGATCCAGCACCTCCTCTCTCAGCCACATTTTTCCTGTTCTGGGTATTTGTGTCTGTGTGCAGGGGATGAGGACGGGGTGTTATCCACCAGTGTGTGCTGGACACCTGTGCAGCTAGGGTGTCTCTGTGGACAATCAGGAACCACACTCTTGGGCTGTGTTTGGGATGGGCTGAAGGTGTTGTGTGGATTTTTAAAGAAAAATCTATTTATTTATTTGAAAGGCAGAGTTACAGAAAGGAGAGAGAGAGAGAGAGAGAGAGAGAGAGAGAAAGTTGTTTTTTTTTCCCCCTTAAGGCTTTTTATTTATTTGAAAGGCAGTTACAGAGAGGTCTTCCATCTGCTGGTTCACTCCCCAGATGGTCGCAATGGCTGGAGTTGGGTGCAGGGGCCCAAGGACTTGGGCCATCTTCTACAGCTTTCCCAGATGCATTAGCAGGGAGCTGGATCAGAAGTGGAGCAGCCAGGACCCAAACCACTGTCCACATGAGATGCCAGTATTGCAGGCAGTGGCTTTACCTGCTACACTAAAATGGGACATTGGAATACCTTGTTAAAAAAAAATACCTCTGGGGATCTCTCTCTTTTTTAGATTCATTTATCTGTTTAAAAGGTAGTTACAGGCTGGCACCACGGCTCAATAGGCTAATCTTCCGCCTGCGGCGCCGGCACCCCAGGTTCTAGTCCCAGTCAGGGCGCCAGATTCTGTCCCAGTCACTCCTCTTCCAGTCCCACTCTCTGCTGTGGCCCGGGAGTGCAGTGGAGGATGGCCCAAGTGCTTGGGCTCTGTACCTACATGGGAGACCAGGAGAAGCACCTGGCTCCAGGCTTCGGATCAGTGCGGTGCGCTGGCCGCAGCACACTGGCCGCGGAGGCCATTGAGGGGTGAACCAACAGAAAAAGGAAGATCTTCCTCTCTGTCTCTCTCTCACTGTCCACTCTGCCTGTCAAAAAAAAAAAAAAAAAAAAAAAAAAAGAGTAGTTACAGAGAGAGAGAGAAAAAGATGGGGCCAGCGTTTTAGCTTAGCGGGGGGTAAAGCTGCTGCCTGCAGTGCTGGCATCCCATATTGGGCATTGGTTCGAGTCCCGGCTTTCCCACTTCTGATCCAGCTCTCTGCTATGGCCTGGGAAAGCTGTAGAAGACGGCCCAAGTCCTTGGGCTCCTGCACTCACGTGGGAGACCCAGAAGAAACTCCTGGCTCCTAGCTTTGGATCAGCACAGCTCCAGCCATTGCAGCCATTTGGGGAGTGAACCAGCAGATAGAAAACCTCTTTGTCTCTTTCTCTGCCTCTGCCTCTGTAACTCTGCCTTTCAAATAAATAAATAAACAAGTCTTTAAAAAGAGAGTGAGAGAAGGGGAGAGACAGAGAGACATTAAACTTCCATGTACTGGTTCACTACCCAAATGGCAACAAGGACCAGGTCTGGGCCAGGCCAGAGCCAGGATCCTAGAACTCCAGCCGGGTCTCCCACGTGGGTGCAGGAGCCCAAGCACTTGGCCGTCTTCTGCTGCTCTCCCAGGTGCATTAGCAGGGAGCTGGATTGGAAGCAGAGCAGCCAGAAGCAGAAGGGATGCTCTGATAGGCGATGTTGTTGTCACAAGCAGTGGCTTAACCTGCGCCGAAGCACAAGCCCCATGGTGGCGATCTCTCTGTCTGGTCACTAAAGTTTAATCTGAGGTGGTGCAACTTCCCTTTCATTGCCCTTGCCTACCTGCACACACAGATCTCTGTCATCCAGCCTACACTGGCCACTTGTCACCAGGGTCCAGAGGTTGGCTCCTGAGTTACTTCCTGTCCCTGCACACTTGCACTTGGCTGGTGTGGCCATGGGGTCTGGAGAGGCCAGGCAGAGGGTTTGAGCACCAAGGCCCCTTGTTTCCAAGTGGACAGCCACCCCCTGGGCACTCAGGACTGTACAGAAACAGGCCTGCAGGAGCCTGAAGCTGGGGATGTCAGGCCGCCCCTCCCGTCCCCAGCTCGGACATCCCTCGTGACCATGGAATCCGAGGGTGTCAGAGCGTGGGGGCTTGAAGCTGCCAGCCCAGCCCTCGTTGTAGGGCTGTGGAAGTAGAGAAGGGGTCACATGAGAATCCGCCAAGGGGGTTGGACTGGGAAACAGGACGTCTAGGATACAGCTGTGGTTTGAATGTGAGAATCAGCTCAGCTATGTTCCGAATCTCTCTGGGGTGCCTTATGTGCCCTCCTGGACGTGATCTCCTTGGCTGCTGGAAGCTGTGCCAGGCTGCATCAGTGTGGCAGGAGACTGGGGTGGGATGGGGAGAAAGCCGGAAGCGTCTCCCCTTGTGAGAAGCCCTAAGCTACAACTTAGTTACCCCAAAGGCCCTGAATTCTGGGCTCCTTGGGTGTGATGTGCTGTTTTGCATCTCATTTGCATTGCATGTTAGTTAGGTGGACCTGCCCCTGAGCCTTTAACTTGAGGGGCCTGTGGGTCACCCACCTTGTGGGAAGTGGTTCAAACAGCCAGGAAGTACTTGAGCCGGGAGAGAAAGGCTGGAGGGGGTGGACTATTCAGGCCCCTCGTGACACCTGTTTCCTTTCACCAACTGATCCTCAGAGTCTTGGTTTCACCACCTGTGAACTGGAGCAATAGCCCACCTTCCAGGCACCCCCCGCCCAGACTTTTGTGGGAATCACATGACAGAGGGGATGTGAAACGATTTTGGAGAACTAGGAAACCACGTGTGGCGTGTCCTAGAGGAAATGAGGATGGAGAGAAATGAGGTTAGAAGGGGAGGCTTGGCTTGGCCTGGCAGGGCTGACGGCCCAGAGGCTTCCACGTCTGCTGTGCATTTTGGGAGCAGGGGGATAATCAGAGCTACACCTGTCAGCCCTAGCCCCAGATAAACCTGAGGCGAGGAGACTCGTGGGAGAGCCCTGTGACCCCCTGGGCGCCCATCCACACCACATGGTGAGTGAGAATCTCCCTCCCATTTTTTCTGGGCAGGTTACCAACATCTCTGCACATACCTTGGGAGTTTTGGTGGAAATGAATTCCACGACAGTGACTTGTGCGGCCCAAGGACCCCACTGCTCATGAGGCCTCAGCTGCCTCTAGAACAGAGATGGTGGAGCTCCTGCCCTCGGTCTGCCTCCCCCCTGCCTGGAGGCCTACTCTGTTTTGAGCAACCGAGGGCTGGAGAGCACCCAGGGGCCAAGGGAGTACATGGAGGAGGGGCCTGGGGCTGTTTACTCTGGGAGAGATAGTGGCCTGTTTACAGCATTAACCTTGGTCTGAGGGTCAGAAATAAAAAAATCTTAGTCCCAAAGTGGCACTGATTATATGAGACGTGATGAGCTCCCTGTCCCTGGGCGGGGGTGCAAGCACATGGGTGACGACCACTTGGTGCAGATGCTGGAGAGTGGATTCAAGCGAGGGAAGGCAATGGGGCCCTACCTCAAGATTCTGTGGCCCACTGGGAAGAAGGAGATGCGGTCGCTGCGATCCTCCAGTCCAGAGGGGTCCTCTTTCTTGGGTCTCACCCCACTGAGATGTAAGGTTTCCTTAGCAACAGCCCTTAGTGGAGGCCGTGGGTCTCCTGTTGGTCAGGTCCACGTGGAAAGACCTCATTGCTCACTAAGCTGTCCCCACCGTGTCCCCAGGGACAGGCAAGGCCCTAGTCCCTGGGAGGCTCAGCTTCCTGTGTCTCCTGCTCTATTCTAACAAATCTCAGGCCTGTCACTCCCAAGCTGGGTGATGCTGGGCAGATGGCTGGCCCTCTCTGGGCTCGAGCTGGCTTTAGATGGGCTTGGGGGCTCCCTTCAGGTCTGGAGCTATCTGCTGATGACTCCCAGGGGGTAAATCTCAAGCTTGGGGGCCGAGGCCTCCACTCAGAGGCCATACTTCTGGCTCCTGGGTGCCAGTCACCCCGCTTCCTCCAGGGGGCTTGGTCAGCATAGACAGGCAGCTCCCAGGACAGAGAGGCCATGGGACAGGCTCCAGCGTCCCTCTCAAATGAGGATGGTGACATGCAAGGCCAAGGGGAGCCGACAGTGGGTGGGAGGTGGACTCCCCTCTGCCTAGTGGGCACCAAAGCTTGCCCTGTCCTCCCAGGAACCCAACCGAGGCCTCGAATCCCCTGCCTCCATTCCTGGCT